TTCAGATGAGAGTGTTGGTAAAAGGATGCTTGATTGTTATCTCTCGAGGAAGGCATGCATGCAGCGAAAAGTGCTGAGTGAGCGTCCTGCGATGGTGCATGCTTCTACCCCACCATGGACGGCTGGCACAAGTGAAGTGGTGGCACATACAGTGACTCAGGCAGCTGCCCGCAAGCGTTTTTTTCTTGGTCGATCAGTCGTGGTTGCAGCTTGCAAAGGCAGAGCAATTTCCCAGGTTTTCCAATGTCCATCAGTTATTTACAGTTCTGGCACTGCATAGACTTGTGAGACACAAGATGTTCAGACAAAAGTTGTCAGGGTGAAGCAGGATGTGGCTTCACATGCCAGGCACTTATGCAGCATGCGGAGGGACTCCCCTCTTCAGCGCTTGAAAAGACATGTGGGCAGACGTGGCACCTGCTGCAACATTTTTCTCTGGCCAATTTCGCTGCATGCGGACAGCCAAGGTCCCGAATTTTGCGTGGACAGCCGGGTGGCCCAGTGGTCCCCCCCCCCCGAAAACCCGCCCCGAAAACAAAAAAAGAACGCGTTCCACCGGAGATGGGCGAGGCGCTGGACCACGGATCGTCAAACTGCTGGAGAAGCAAAGGCCCCCGGACAACTTGCTGTACGATTTTTATGATGCACTAAAGGGACACCATTGGCAAAACAAACTATTCCAGCTCAACGATACTTTCAACCTGTTCAATGGAAAACATCACTTTCAAACTATTCAATGGAAGGCTATTGAGCCTTGGGGAGCTGAGCTAGCTAGCTTTGAGTCTCCATGCGCACTGCTTGCCAGACGGCTTCCCCTCAGCTTCCACGACAATGTGGCCCTTGATGCCTGCCAGCGGCTAGGGCCACTGTGAAAGCAAGTACTTCGTCTCCTGCTCTCGGCGTTTTTATCATATGGAGATGGGGCAAAGACCGGGATCGCAACACCATGTAGCTTGACCTTGCCGGTAGGATAACCAATAATCCGAGGCATTTCGCACAATAGTCCTATACCTTCAAGTTGCGCCCGAACCGCTGGTACCTAAACATTCCAAGACGGGTTCTAATAGTCTCACGTTGACTGGTTGGGGACGAACATACACTGACGGCTTTGCCACCCGGCCACAATACACCAATGCCGCGGCAGTTCAACAGACTCGGAAATCAATATGTGACCGACGATTCCAATGCAGTTCCCGCCGGTTTAGTTCCCATGGCATGTTCGCGACTTATCGACCAATGATCCCAGTAGCCGAGAAACGCTACACGCCATCATGAAATACCAAGCAGATTTGCACCGCAACCCACCTTTCCATACGGATGCGCCGTTCCAAATTACACACTCCACACCACTCCTTCATATACTGCTTCAAATTGAGATACCTTTTGCACAACGCTGCAAACAAAAGTGGAAGGTTTGGGATGCACACCGAAAGCAGAAAACTTACGATGCCATCCCTGACCCATTCGTTAATTAGATGCTTGATGCAATCCAAAGCCAGGTCCTGACTTTCTTAATTCGCTCGCTGGAGTGTATAGTTCAGTTTTAAACTGCTAGCATTCTTGCTCTTTAGGGTAATTGGTTTCATGTGCCGTGCACATATAGCACACCCACAACATCTGCGGTAGCAGTCAACTAGCATACGAAGCTGTTCACACCCTTCACATCCGGTATAACAGGATACCAAGGAATGGGAGGATACCTTGCGCGTGGGATGTGTCCACAAACTCGTGTTACCAAGGTATCCTGGTGCCATGACCCATTGACCCACAGCCATATCCACAGCACAGCACCTGCACCCGGGAGTTGCCCAAGTTGCTGGTGTGATTGATCCATGCAATTCCGAAAAACCAGCCGAAACGGCCGCATACCAAAAAACGTGTTGTAATCGGCCATGGGGCGAAATCGGCCATGGATGGATCATTTGGTAGTAGTAATTGCCATGATTTGGAAGAGCAGAGCACCGTGCTCCTGCATGTATGGTTCTTTGATCATTGCTAGACTTGAGTGCCATTGCTCACTGGGCATTTATCGCAAAAAGGACAAGACCACGTCAAGTATGATGCAAGAAAGAGGGGCGATGCACTTCCTTGTTGTCTGTGAGTGGTGTGTTATTATTGTGAGAAGTTGGACGTTATCTCTAAGGCCCGTATCCTCGGAGCACACCGATTTGGGCACTTCATGGCCAATGCCTCAAAACCACCGCGGCAAGAAGGACGATTTTGCTTGTCAGGTTTTGTCATACTTGCTTGAGGTCTGAGGCATGCTTGTTGGAACCTTCGTTTGCGGCGACTGCCGGCATCCTAACTGACTATGGCACCACTTCAACTAATGTAGACTCTTGAATAATGACCCCCCATGTGAATTAAACAACCACTTCATATGGGGTGGTTTATTAATCAAGAGTCTATATTGATTAATATAAGATTGTTCTGTCTGATGCTGAATGCACCTTGTGAACCCAACGGGCTTGGTTTTAGCCACGGAGTCTGCCTGTTTGGCAGGCGCCACTGCCCTACCCTGCGCCTGTGATGAAGTGACCAGGGCGCCTTGTCGCAGAACAGCTCGCTGTTTGCTGCTTAGGGCTAGCGTCGAAGGGAATGGCAACAGCAAAACTGGTTGACTACGATGCTTTACCCGTGCCTTTCTAAAGCACAACGGGGCACATGATTCACATGAGGTTTCGACCAGAGCCCTCAATTCATCCCACAGGTGGATGGAAGAATGAGACAGGGACAGGCTTCCTGTAAGCACCATACGAGCTGGTTTAGAACAGATTAAAATGTTAAAGAACTAGCCATGCAGCGCAAAGTCGTCGAAGAACTGGCCGCCAAGTGCCGCCTTATGGTACTGGTTTCAAGTGTTGCATTTTTGAACCCGCAAGACTCCGTGATCCCATGCAAAACGAACGAAGCAGAGATCAACTGCAATGGTTTCTGTCATTGGCCGAACGCATGCCTCCCTGCGTTCCGACATGAGTGCATTCTGCCGAGCCGGCATTCTGCCGGCTGGTTGTGGGCCTGTAACTCCTAGAAACAATGATGTACAGAACCGAGTGAACGACAGCAAACACGGAGTGCAATATGTGGAAAGATACAGTGTTCCACTGGCTGGTTGGGTTGACGAATGTAGAGCCAGAGTTCTTAACACATTGGGGAAGTGACATCAAGTACGAACCATGACAAGCCGAGAACAGAGGGTGGCAGCCGCTGTTTGCATAGCTTGTGTTGTCGAACATGGTTGCATGGCGGTGTCGCGTAAAAAGGTAACAATTCTTTGCGTGGAAAGTAGGCTGTGTAAATACAGGTGTTGTGTACCAGCTTGTGTGTGTGTAACCCTTGGAATCACAGGGATCCTTTGGGATTGCTTTCAAGTTGCAGGGGAGCGGTGGGCATTCTTGAAGTCACCGCTCAACGAAGACACTTCAAGTTTGCTGTGATATGCAGTCTCTCAGGTGCACACGCAGCACGTACTTTTTCAACGAGGTTTGCCTACGTTTTCTAATGAGGTTTGGGTTTCATTGGTCTTCGTCCCCTGCATTTGGTTTCCCTTTTCATCCTTTCCCCTTCGCACACGTTTGTTTCCTCTTTTCTTTCATGTCCTCCTGTCATCATGTTTTGTCATCTCATCCTTTCTTTCGTTTGCACACACATCGGCCCTGGCCTTAGTGTGTACGTGCACATCTACATACACCTTAAACACAGGCTTCAGGCCGCCCAGGTCTTGACAATGAGGTGGGGTTCATCTGTTGTCCTGTGCACTTGGTTTCTTTTTCATTGCGAGGGGAGCCTTGGAGTCACAGGGGTCCTTTAGGACTGTTTCTTTAAAGGCCTTTCAAGTTGCAGGGGAGCGGTGGGAATTTCTTGAGGTCACCGCTCAACGAAGACATTGCAAGTTTGCTGTGATATGCAATCTGGACGCAGATTGCACGTACCTGACGTACCTGCGAGAAGATGATCACTACTCACTTCCTTTTGGGCCCCGTTGTACCTAGAACAAGACGTCCAGCCTTTGCATCGGTTCATCATCGGCAGATGTGCATTGTCGTTTTGGACTTGTCGATTTGAAGTTGGAGGCCGTGTAGGTTCTGAGGAGGTTTGGACCACCGTACGTGTACCCGTCCTGGCTTCTTAGGTGTTTCACTCAGGCCGGCGTGTGGCAAACCGCAACCAAGCCAGTGCGCATTTCTATAAGTTTGTGTGCGCGTGTGTTTGTTGGTTGGTTGGTTTGTTTGCTTGTTTGCTTGTTTGTTGGTTGGCTGGTTGGTTGGTTGGTTTGTTTGTTTGTGTGAGTAACTAGCTGGCACAAGCACATGTGGATGTTGTGATTGGGTGCCAACACCTGTCGGTAGGTGTGAAAACTGGCCAATGTTGTGTAACAGTGTAGCATCAAAAACGACACAAACACCTGGTGAAGCATATCCCCATACATACACACAGTGTGTTTTCTTCTCAACAGGCAACGCAACGCAAGGTCAACTGCAGTCTCTCCCTTTGTTGTGCGTGCCTACTTCAATAAAAACTTGTGGATTTTCAGACCGGTGCTCCATGCCTTCCCTGCTTTTGTAATTTCTTTGGACCGAGCCTCGGATGTTCAAAGAACATGGGCCGAGGCAAACACTGTGCCGTCGTAGACGGATGGTTGACGTAGTCAACCTGTCAAAGATCTCAAAGTGGACATATGTATGGCCTTGGCTGAGATTGTGCCACAGTTCATGGACTTGTTGATAGCCCAAGGATACTAACACTAAGATGCACAGCCAAAGCTATCCTGACATGACACAGCGGTCAGCGTTTACTGGCTGATGCCATTGTCGATCTTGAGGATAAAAGGAGTGAAACAGCCTACAAACACAGCTACAGCAGCACTGGGGATGTACACTGTATATATATATATATAGGTTTTAATAGATGGAATTTTAAGTAGAAAGGTATTCAAAAAGCATAGACCCGTGCAAACCTTGTGCAGACAGCCACGGGGGTGACCTCCTACTTCGGCAGTCATGCTGCTTGCATGTTTGCGTGGTTGCGAACGCCTTCTGGCTTACCAGCCTTTGCGCTTTGCTTTCCCGGTGCAGCCAGCACATTTCGCTGCCATGGGGAAGGACACTGCCAAGCGAAGGGTGGCAACTGTTGCAGCGGTGGCAACGATACCTCTTGCCAGAGAGGTCTTGGCTTTCAATGCCAATCCAGCACTGACACAAACGCCAAGCGATCAGGTGCCCTCGGCTTCACGAAATTTTCCACAGGCTGTGGAGCCACAAAACGCAGTTCGCTCTGGTCGGCATGCATGCTCAGCCAGTGTGTTGACAGGTGTTGCCGCCGCAGCCATTGCTGCCAAGAATCGCAGCGGAAAGGGCAGCACAACAGGGACGAGCCGCTTGAGCACTCAGACAGTGCTGGAGAAGGCAGCCACAGATGCCCCGACAAAGCTTCTGGAACGCTATGTGAAGGAAAGGGGGGGTGAGCGTGTTCTGCGCAAGCTACTCATCGCCAACAACGGCATGGCTGCAACAAAAGCGATCCTTTCGTTGAGGCAGTGGTCATACTTGGAGCTTGGCTCTGACAATGTTTTTGAATTCGTTGTCATGGCTACTCCGGAAGACTTGGAGGCGAATGCTGAGTTCATCCGACTTGCAAACTCCTATGTCGAGGTTCCCGGAGGAAAGAACGTCAACAACTATGCCAATGTGGACCTGATCGTGGAGGTTGCCGAGTCGCAAGGTGTGAACCGTTGTTGTAAATGTTTTTCTCGACCTGAGCAACGTGTCATGTTGTTGTGCGAAACCGCTCCAAGCAAAATCCCATTCTTCAAGGGCTGCTTATTCTCAACCTGAATCTCATATAGATCTTAGAATATCGTATTTTAAAAAAGCCGTAAAATAGGATTAGATCATACTAAAATACAACAGCATTAAATATCTAGACAAACATAGAAAAACCCGACAGTATGACCCATGTCGCGGGCCGTCTCTAGACTCGCTCCGTCTCCGTCTCTCGGCGGTCTCCGTCTTCGGGGTGGTGGCTCTGCTGGGAACCTGCACAGGTGTGGATGCCGTGTGGCCAGGTTGGGGACATGCCTCTGAGAATCCCAAGTTGCCAGACAAGCTGAAACCGCTGGGTATTACCTTCATTGGCCCAACCTCTCCGGTGATGTCTGTATTGGGTGACAAGATTGCAGCACCTTGGCCAAAGTGGGAATGGAAGATTGGACGGTGGGCAATTTGCCAGTTGGCGTAGATTCTTGCTCACACGCAGTTGTTCCATTCGAGCCAATTCTCTCACTTCCAAGTCTTCCGCTCTTTGATGCATTGTGGAAGTGAAGCTTCGATGCTTCTGGAAAGTTGGGTGTTTTGAACTCAGGCTGTTCAGGTGGGCACCAGTGTCGGAAAGGTCCTGGAATTTTGCGCTGAGGCCAACATTTTGGCACAAACGGCTGGGGTGCCATCAATTCCATGGAGTGGAGATGGCCTCGAGGCTAATTTGGGTCCAGATGGCACCATCCCAGAGGAGCACAGCCTCATGGTTCAATCGTTTTCGTGCGTTGGATTGGGTCTGTCCTATTGTCTGTAACAGTGGATGATGAATGTTCTGAAACGGGGTTTGTGGTCACTTCCTTGCGCATCAGCCGCCAGGACATCTTCCGACAAGGCACCGTCAGCACCGTCGAACAGGCCAAAGAAGTTGTGAAGAACATTGGCTTCCCTGTGATGATCAAGGCCTCTGAAGGCGGGAGGGACCTGATCAAGGTTTGAGTCATGTCATCTCTTGTTGTCATAATTGTTCTTAAGGCGGTTTCAATTAGGAATCATGGGCAGAGAGAGAGGGAGAACAGGCAGGAAACTGGCAAGACCACCAAGCAACAACCAGACGAATCAAAGACTGGGGGGGATATTCCTCCTACTTGATTGAAGCCTTGAACAGTGGACACAGTTTGCAGTTTCAAGGTGGAGGCGGGAAAGGGATTCGCATGGTGCAAGAGGAGAAGGACTTAGAGACCAGTGCCTTGTTCGCACGATCCATGCGCCTTGCCAGTCACTTTGAGGCTCGTGCCGAGCCATGAAAAATCCATCGTTGGATCACTGAGGCTTTATTCAAGTGCAGAATGAAGTGCCGGGCTCTCCGATCTTCATGATGCAACTTTGCCAGGGAGCTCGGCACATCGAGGTGCAGATCGTTGGAGACGAGCACGGAAATGCTGTAGCACTGCCCCTTGACATCGATTTTGGCCCAAGACCGTCTTCTGTCTTCCCTCGTTCCCATAGGGAAGGCATCGAACAGTGTCTGTTCGATGAAGGCTGCAGATCTTGTCTTTCCTTGGCTGAGGAATGGCAGAGATTGTTCGACCCAGCGACGCTTCCAGAAGATCTTCGAGGAAGGACCTCCGGTGGTGGTGCCCAGGGACACGTTCCTGGAGATGGAGCGTGCGGCCCAGCGCCTCACACAGAACATCGGCTACATTGGGGCTGGAAGCTCGGCCAGAAGAGGCGAACATGAAGACACCGAGGTTTGTGGAAGCCCAGGTGATGCACCGATGGTGTGGAAGCACCCACCAGTCATTCGCCATCGATGTTTATATATATATATGCTTTCCAACTGTGATACTAGATCGGTAGCAACAGTGCGATCGATCCTTGCTGGTAACCCTTGAGTTGATGTTTCTTATTGTTTCTTTGGTTTCTCTTGATCTGGATGTCAATCCGAGGAACTGTGGAGTACTTGTACAATGCAGGGGAAAACAAGTTTTACTTCCTTGAGTTGAACCCGAGATTGCAGGTGGAGCACCCGGTCACGGAAGAGCTCACACGCGTCAATCTGCCCGCGACACAGGTGCTCGTGTGTTGCGGTGTGCCCCTGGAGAAGATCGCGCAGATCCGGCGATTCTACGGCAAGAGTGAGTCAGACACGACCTCTCCCATCGACTTTATGGAAGATCGCTACGTGTATCCCGATCGCCATGTCATCGCCTCGCGCATCACCGCCGAGAACCCAGATGACGGTTTTAAGCCCACCAGTGGCAAGAGCCTCGATCCCAACGGGTGTGAAGTGATTTCTTCGGGCGTTTCTTGCTAGAGGTGGCGGAAGGTTAGCCGCAGTATGGCAGTATCGCCGCCTATGGCCTATACTAATCATACTCCCTGGCGGGTTGGCCTCCCGGTCCGGTTCGTCCGGTCTGTTCCTTTTCGCTCGGAATTCAGCCGCTGGACCGGTGTTCTGGTGCCATGACCCACAGCCATAGAGCCATACTGAGCGGATGCAGATCTCAGCTCAGGATCGAACGGATCAAGTTTCAAAGCTCCGTGGCATGCTGGGGATACTTCAGTATTGGTGCCAAGGGAGGCATCCACGAATATGCAGACTCCCAGTTTGGCCACATCTTCGCACATGGGAACAACCGTGAAGAGGCAAGGAAGGCGCTCATGCTGTCTTTGAAGAACATTGAAGTCGTTGGTGAGATCCGGAATCCTGTTGAGCACCTGGGGCGAGAATTAGTTCCGTCAGAAGATGTCAGAAGGATGCGAATATTATTGCCACAGCGTGTGCCCAGTGTAGAATCACAGGTGTCATATGATTTCACTCGCAAAGGATCGTCGGCATGACCAGCATTGGTCGCTGAGGTTGAACTCACCATTTTGGGGTATATTTTTAAATACTTAATATATATATATATATAATCCATATTTCCCAGCGCAGCCTTTGCTTGCTGATAAGGTATTTAGTGGAACTTCTTCAGCAGGAGGCGGCTTGTGGTGCGAATCTTCTGGCAGAAGTGTAGATAAATTATTGCCTGACTGAACATGTTGGAAGAGACAATGCTTTGATTTGATGATTTTTTCGGCGAGTCCGCCTTTTTGATCGTCGGAGCAGCTAGCAGCTAGTGTTGCATTTCTTGTGTTCCCCAGCTGAAATGGAGGCTTTCATTCAGAATACGATCGACACTTCTTGGCTTGATGGCCTCATCAAGGAGAAGTCAGTGACCTTGAGCTACAACATCAACGACGTGGCTCGTTGGTTTGTCTGACAAGTGAAAACATGATTCGTTTCCACTGTATTTTGCTGTAGTTATCACTGGGCAAGCCTGTGTCCCAAGAAGCCTCGAAGGTTGAGTACGCGTGAGATGCTCCAATCTCAGGTGGTCTTCTATGCCGCGGTATTTCGTGCAGTTCAGAATCTGAAGGTCTTTGATGCAGAGGTGCAGTCAGCCTTGGCCAAGAGCCAGCTTGGTCCTTTGCGGGAGATGGTTCCCTGGCTCAATCACTCGGAATAGCGCGTGGCAAACCATAATGCCGCGGGTTGGAATGGAATAATCTGCAGCAAACATTGTGATGCACAAACACACACACAGAGGCCACAGACTGTGCAAATAGCTGCATAGTACATCATACTTTTGGGAAGGCGACTTTCCTTTCCAAACAGGGGGTTTTCCACTTCCATGTGATGAGTTTGTTGGAGTGTAGCCGTCTTGCTACTCAGCTACTCTGCGAGCCTGCCTGCGAGAGAGGCGATGATGAACCGGCTTGCCGGGGCTTGCCCGTGCACCCTTTATGGAATTCAAGCTGCTGCCATCTGAGGCAAAGATGAACAAGTTTCCGGTTGAGATCACTTTTGAGGGGGTGAAGTACACTTTCCAGGTCTCAAGGATGGGGCCATCTTTACTGGAGCTGGCCATCGCAGATAAGAAGCAGCTTAGCCAATTCCCGTCTCACGGAAGTCTTTTGTCTCGGAAACATTTCGTGGTTTGTGGAATGTATATGAATGCATATAGATCGGGGGGTTATCGGTGGGTTGAGGTAGATTGACTCTTGAGGGGCAAGCCTTGCTTACCTTGAGGGACCGCATGTAGTCCCATGGGCTGTTGCTGCTGCTGCTTCCTAGCTTCTTTCCCCAGCTTATGGCAATGTCACCGCATGTGAGTCCTGGTAAGGTAGTAGTTCATCAGGGCCCAGATCTGAGGTACCTGGCCCAGATCATGGCCCAGCCAGATGGAACGTTCCTGGTCTCTGTGGGTGCCACAGTCATGAGTGTCATGGGCTCCGAAGAAGCCTTGGGCTTACGCCTGCGCCTGGACGGTGTGGGCACCATCATGCTGCCCACGGTCTATGACCCCTCCGAGCTCCGGTCGGAGTTCAATGGCAAGGCAGGGGGGAGGACGACGGCCAGCTTCAGTGCTCAGAAGTGGTTTGGAAGGGTGAAATAAGGGCTTGGACCTGCAGAACATCCAGGGCTTGCGAGTGGAAATTGGAGATTTTTCCATCTTCGTTGCCCCTTTGAACCCATTGAATCGGTGCCATTTTTGGTATCGCCGCAGGTGGTGCGATACCTGCAGGACAATGGGTCGATGGTCCAGGAAGGTGAGCCCTACGTGGAATTGGAGGCGAGCGTCGCATAGCGTCGCCACGTTGGAAGGACGAGCTGGCTCGTGTGGCTACCCACTGCTGTAGGGATACACACAGCTTGAGAAAGAGGGGGCAGGTGTTGAGGTAGTTGAACTCTAAGCTGCTAGCCTTTAGCGTGCATGCGAAAGAGGGACTTTGCAACGAAATCGGGTGTTTTTTTGATATGTTCAACCGTGTTGAGCTCATCTGGCTTGGTGCCAGGCAATGAAGATGATCATGCCAATCAAGGCCGGATGATTTGAACTTGTCCCCTCTATATGGACCCCCTTTTTTGTGGGTCACAGAGTGGGTCCCTGTTTCCGGGACTTGGGCACCACAGATTGCTGGACCACAGCCCTGTGCGCGCCTCATGGCTCGTAGCATGGTTTCCGACACAAATATCGACTTTTGAGTTGCTCATGTTTTTGAACTGGTTTGGCAGGCTTTGCCATCACCTCACAGCTTCTCTCATGTCTCAGCTCATCTAAGCTGGATGATGCACGATGACGATACCGTCTCCCCTCACACCTCGCGATCCAACATGTTACAGTGGTTGCAGAATAGATGGCACAATCCCCAAGTTTGGTGGTTGATGTGGGCCCCAGCCCCAAGGTTTATAAAAAACACACATTTCGAGGTTGGTGCCATCTATATACTCTGAATCATTGTAAATGCATTTTGGTTGGAACCATCTTCGCTCCGTCCTGATCGCCCCCAGCCCCCGTCTCGTTTGTTGAAGCTGATCGCCCAGGCAACGGCCACAGGCAAGGTGTCCCATCTCCGTGGCGCCGGGAGCATTGTTTCTGCGGGTGAGATGCTGGGAACTTTAGAGCTGAAAGATCCCAGCAAGGTGGGAACTGAAAGATTTTCATACCTTGGATACAGGGCCAACAAACGGAGGAAGATTGCGACTTGGCGTACGAGGACAGAGCGAAAGATCGCGCCAGGTCAAGAAGATCGTGCCCTTTGACGGCGACTTTGACATCTCAACGTCGGCGAGCATCGAAAAGGCTGGGCGATTCACTTCATTCTCTGAGGCCAAATGACTCATGCGCTGCCGATGGGCCTGATCACTCACTTGTTGATTCACGTGATGTGAGTCATTCCCCAGAGGACCGGGACCTACAGAGCCAAATCGAGATGGTCCTCGATGGCTTTGCCTCTCCAGAGGACGCTGGCATCATGACGCAGAAGCTCTTCTCCGAACTTCCACAGGCCTGAGCAAAGTCTAACTGCCACTTGATTGCACTTGCTGTTCCGTCCGCCACCCTTCCTGAGGCTGAGCGAAGTCAGGTTGCTCAAGCTCTTTTTGAGCGCTACTTGAGTGTGGAGCAAAAGTTTTCTCCCTTGATTCAGAAGAAGCTGACAAGTGACCAGATCTATGCTGAATTCATAGCCGAGAACAAGGAGATTGAGCTGATGTGAAATTCTTGTAAGAACGTCATAACTGAGTGGGACGACATGGGCTGAGTACATACAGTGTATTTCAAACGGGGCAATGGACAGAACCCAACCATGATGATGATTGCAAGATCTTGCGACTTCCAGAGTAGCTTCTCTGTCTAGGGGCCAACAGGGCTATTTGCATGTTCCCGTTGAACAAGTACTGCTGAGCTGGTATCAGGACAACTTGTCAGCAGTGGCTTCTTTGGCCCTTGCCCATGGCCAACTTGCCGCCCGAAGTGCATCTTGGATATTCTTGGATTATACTTCCGACGGTCAATCACTGAACTCTCAATTCTGGACAGTGCGCATAAGTTGTATGCGTTCCATCTGGATACAGCTACCTGCTTTGGCTAGGGTCCCAATTCAAGAGGACGATCATGAAACATCTTGTGTGGAAGGTCCCTTGATCGAGGATGGCCACAATTGCCCATATCCATGGTTTTCGGTCTTCGTCGTGTAAACGTCCCTGACTTCCAGACTCGTGATGTTTGTGCGTGCGCTCAGGCGGTGGTGGTTGCAGCACTCCGAAGTTTGCGAACACTTTCGGCTCCGGATGCTGAGCTCATGGATGCGATTCAAAGACTCTCTGAACTAGCCAACACAGGCGGCGGGCCATCATCACATTTCTCACATTTGCATTTGAGGACAGAGGATTTGCATTCTTGTGAGACATCCTGTGAGGTGGCTATGGAGAAGTTGTTCTTGTTGCGCAGCTTGGCGAAGTTGCGGTGCCAAGTGTGCCGTGTGCTTGGGAAGAATGAGCTGCGTCGACAGGGGTTTTCGGAGACCACGCCACGTTGATGCCTCCACGCAAACACCAATCCCAGGAGACGCACGCTGGAGATGCGGAGTGCGAAGCCCTTTGGAGAGCGAGTGGAAGCACTGCGAGAACTGCTCGACGTCACCCACCCTGATTTGGATGGCCTCTGTGGAATGCCCGCCACCAAGGCGCAGTTTCGCTCCGGCGAGTTGGGACTTTGGGCCGACCGAAAAGCCGAAGCCTCCGACTTCGGTGCTTGTTTTAAAAAAACAAGTTCAGTTCACTTCCCCACCCATCAGTAACAAAGGGCGTCGCTACGAACGGAACAAGGACGCTACGAACGTAGCTCCTGGCCTTACTACTGGTAACAAGAAGCTGAACCTTTAATCAGCACTCCACTGGAGTCCCTTGCAATGCTTTTATTTCCCCTTTCTCAGTCAACGCTCAGCATTTGTCAGGCTGGAAGTGAGCTTCTGTCCGACTTGCTGCTCAATGAGTCATCGACTGCCCCTGGGATGCAGATATCGATGCCTCCCATTTCTTTGAAAAAAATGACCGCATTCAGATCTTGCTTGCAGGCCTTGGAGTCCAAAACAAAGCATAACATGTCTCCGAATTTGTGCACGAAGATGTTAGAGCAAAAAGTAACGTTTTCCATTGGCTTAGAGACAGGAAGCATTTGGTGGCTGGTTTCTGTGACTTGCGTTTGGAGCAGGCCTACATAAAACACCAAGTCTTCACGCAATGATGTGCCGAGGTTAGGTCCAATGCTCTAAATGCATTGATGAGACGTCTCTATCGCTCGTTTCCGATTCAGGACTGATGCGGCCAGTTTCAGTTTCCTAACCTATTTTGGGGAATATCTTGCAGGCTATTGCAAGCGTTATTGCGGGCGAGTAGAGCAGTTAGTATAGCTTGGGGAGCAGGAGTTCCGGACGTGCGTGCTTTTTGCAGAATCCGGACAGCAGCATTGCAGGATATGGAGATCAACGATGAGGGAGCTGGCAAGATGACTTGCAACTTCAAGTTCCAGTTTCCTGGTACAGCAGAAGAGGCCGTATTTCGCCAAGCGCATGTGAAGGTGGTCAAGACCTTCGATGATGTCAAGGAGGTGATGAAGGGTGAGATCCCTTTACAGGATGAGAGCAACAAGGTCGCAAACACATTGAAGGCCAGCGTTGAACATCTCAAACGCCTCAAGAAGTTTGTCGCAAAAGACCCTGAGAACTAACACTAATGCGCTGACTTTTTAAACATGTACTGCTGATCAGAGGGCCTTCGTTCAGATAGCTAGGTATGGCTGGGTATAGCTAGGTAGCATTCGGTGGGCCATGCTAGGTCCCATCCGATGGTTGAATACTTGGCAGGTCGTTGTGACTTCCCCTGGGAGTATGCCTTTTGACGACATGAGCGCGAGCATGGAGAAGTACTTGGCAGCTGCGGGTGAGCAGCTACAAGCAGCAGGCATGCGAGAGGCCGGAAGATAAAGAGTTGTGACATCAATGACACCTATATAGCTCCAAACACGTCAGGTGTGCTTTGTGACATTCTGCAGTGCCAGTCTGGTTGAGACGGCCAAGTAGGGGGTTTAATGCCTCAATAAGGATGCTGGACACAGCACAGGGGGCCTGAGTGGCAGGATTCAAGATTTCCCTTGGAGGGACGAATTCTTTGCCGGGTGGTGCCTTCACCACCCAGAACAAGTCTTTAGGTGCCATGAACAGCTTCTCAACGGGCCTTGACGGTGCGACAAACAAGTCTGCGGTATTCTGCGGTGCCTTTACGCTGCTAGGTGGGCCTGGTGGTCTCCGACCCACCGCATGCTCCGCGCTATGCCTCCTTCATGGCTGACAGTGACTGGAAGGAGAATTTGGCATGTCGCAGCCTGGCGGCAGAGGAGTGAACGCAGATGGCAGGTGACACTTTCTTCAATGCATCATCGACACGTCTGCCAGGTGACATGAAGCCCTCTTTGCCAAATGTCTTGGAGGTGTACCGCCTGGCTGAAGAGTACAAGTTGGAGAAAGTGGTTCCGCCCGTGGGCCGCAACTCGCAGGTGGGGATGATGCATTACAAGTGTTTGCGACCAATGGATGGATCGTCCGAACCTTTTTGGGATACTTTTGTTGATACGAACTGTTTGCATCCTACTGTGCATCGGGCAGGTCTATGTTGGAACTCCAATTGATGTTGGCCCGTCGAAAAGGAATCCATCGACCATCTTTGCTCGTCACTACTCTGCACAGGTCGTTTCTTTTGGCGCGCCCTTTGGTGGTTTGGTTGGGGTAGTGGCTTCTAGCTGTCCAGGGCACTGTAACATTGAACAATTCGCTTGTACTGCTTTCTGCTTGTGCCTGTTTTTCTTTTTTCTTCAGGCATGATCAAGCACTCCATGGATCCTGAGAACACACAAGCCTGGCACGATTCATTGGAGAGTCTCATGCTCAATGCGGTTGATGAGATTGAGCGAGCTCGGTTGAACCCAAAGATTGGCTATGGACCTAATGGCACCCTGGACCAAGTACTTTGGAACTTTCTGTTTTTGGTTGTCCTTTTGATTCTCCTTCGGAACGTGGTAGCTTTCTCAGAAGCCCTATCTTTGATTTCCTTTGATCAGAGGCAATATCTTTGCACACATCTTGTACAACTTGAACATGGAGGCAACAAGTGCGTATGAAATGCTGGAAGAGTTTGTGAACAACTTTGTGGCCAAACATGGCAGCCGTCTCCAGAAGAGCAAGGCAGGAAGTGAGAGAAGGTGTCGGGGCACAGACGTGCCTTTGCACACTTGCGTCATGTGTGCCGGCCGTTTCTGCTCCACCTTGTGGTCACGAAAGTGAAATGACTGGGGGCCCGGCAGTTTGTTTCGACTTGCAGTTGGCTGCTAGTGGTGGTGTATCACTGCATATGATATGTATCAAACTTGCCATTCTGGGTCTTGCTCGTGTTTCTTGTCTCGTTCGTGCTGTGTAGCGTTCTTCTGCGAGGTTGATGAGATTGTGGTCAAGGTTGGCATTGGCAGCGGAGACTCGCGGAAGCAGACGCTGCGACTCACAGCCAGTTCCATGACAGGCCTGGCAGACGCGGTCAGATGACAGACGCGGTGTGGTAAAATTGATCTTCGATCCCTTAAGCCCTAGGCCGGGCGTGCTTTCACTGAGTTTGTCCGGAGGTTTAGGCTATTTTAGGCTTCAAGATCCAAATGTATGATCGAAAGAAGGCAGATTGCTAAGTACATTGTAGCATTCAGTGACGGTTGGAAAGGGGCAGGGTATTTCAAGCTTCTTAATTGACGAGTTGGGATCATATGATTATCAGATTCTTGTGGCTTTCGTATTGCTCCGTGACGTTTCAGGGGAATACCTCCGCACCAGTGGCGCGCTTGAGATGTATGATGTCATTACAGGGTCGCCCACCCAATGGTTTGACTTGAAGCTCTTGGGATGGCATTTGAGTCGTTGTGCTGTTGTCTAAGCACCAGTTTGAGTCACAAAGTAGCTTGTGTCTTGCGACTGTTGCACGTGTTTGTGTGCAATTGTGTGCATCTTTTGCCGCGTCATTGCACTGGTTCTTTTTGTCTCTCTCCACTCTCGAGCCCCCTTGTGTTGAAAATTGAACCGTCTTGTGTGCGTGGGTATCTCACCTTGTTGGTTCTCTGCATGTGCCATGCATTTGGAGCTGATTCGAATCGCTTTGCTTCTGAACTGGCACTGCACAAAGTTGGACACACACACAGACAAATATGTAATACTATACAGTATAAAATAAGTTAAGGTGGACTGTTGATTCACAATCCCCCTATCAAAACGGGTTTTCATCTCCAAAAGGGAAAGTTAATTCAGCGATAATACAAAAAACCTGCAGCTACCTACTGTAGGACCCAGACCTTTCAGAGTGTTCCACCGTGCATTTGGTCACGAAAGGTAGCCTCAGACACTTCCTCGGCTTGTTCAGGTCTGTGTTGGATTAGGTTTGGTTTTCCAAGACGAGATTCTTCACTTCTTGAAGGTTGGGTGGAACACGTCCTATGAGGCATGAAGCCTTTTGCAACAAAAAAGGGTACACTTAGGTAGTGTGTGGAGTTGAAGGTCAGAAGCGCAGAGCGAAGATGCTCTGCTGTCATGACTCCGCCGGTCCTTTCAAACAGTTTTGCCCGGTCAGTGTCGCTCCTCCCGGTCCGCCGGCCAACGATTGAGTCGTTTGTTGGCAAGTTTCAAGCCTAGATTTCTCAGACAAGAAGGTAGCACGCAGCGCGTCGCCGTCGCGGTGCTTTGTGTTTTGAAAGCATGGTCTCGCCTAAGAGAATTGAGGTCTGAAGGTGTGCTGTTCCTTTGTAGGTTGCCTTTGAAAAGACACGCAATACGAGCACTGCTTTTGTGCGCTGGCTCCCGCCACGAGCGTCAAGTCTGACTGCGCCAAGGAGTGGTGATGAGGCAAAGTTGGCCTCTGCAAAGGCAAAGAACCGATTGCAGCTTCGACGCTCAGTGGCTCGCAACGCCGGCTCAACCTACGCACCTGACTTCCTTGGAATCATGCCCGCAACAAAGGAGGCATTTTTTGATTTTTGTTGCAGTTCTCAGATTATGCCTAAAGGTGTTACCGTGTTGCTCGCTTTGGGCAAGGCATGCTGAAAATAGAGCTGATCAAGAAGTGGGGCACGTACCAGGATTCTGGGGGCATGCGTGATATGCCTTCCAAGATTTTCAGCAGCACAGAGTTGGTGCTGGTGGATGGAGAGCTGAAAGAAATCGACCGTGAGCCCGGGCAGAACAACATTGGCATGATTACATGGCGGTGCACTCTTTGCACTCCAGAGTATCCTGAGGGTCGAGATCTTGTGCTCCTTGCCAACGATGTGACGCACAAAGCAGGCTCATTCGGAGTCGATGAGGATGTTCTGTTCCAGAAGGCGTCCGAGTATGCGAGGGACAGGGGCCTGCCGCGAATACACATTGCTTGCAACAGTGGTGCACGCGTGGGTTTGGCTGAGGAGCTGAAGCCTTTCTTCAAGGTGAAGTGGACCAATGATGACCCTTCCAAGGGATTTGACTACCTATACTTGGAGGAGAAGGACCTGAAGAGCTTACCGGATGATGCAGTCGATGTGCATGTCCAGCGGGTGAATGGCAAAAAGCATTTCGTCATCGACGCCATCATTGGAGAAGGTCTCAAATCCACACAAGGTGGCATTGGAGTCGAGAATCTGCAGGGAAGTGGCCTCATTGCGGGAGAGACGTCCAAAGCCTACAACGAAGTCTTCACCTTGTCGTATGTCACCGGGCGATCGGTAGGTATTGGTGCATATCTGAACCGACTGGGGCAACGAGTCATTCAAATGGTCAATGGACCGATGATTTTGACAGGCAGCTTCTGCAATGCTTTCAAACATGAACCACTATAAGATTAGGTGTTTGAATGAGACCACATTTTTTTTCTTTGTTTGTTTATTTTTTTGTTCTTCGTTCCTTCGTTCGTTTTTTCGCCCTCTCTCTTTCTTTGGGTCATACCGGTTGTTGCCGAACCCTGGCATCATTCAGGGTTCTCTGCACTCAACAAGCTGTTGGGAAAGAATGTCTACAGCTCTCAAGATCAACTCGGCGGGCCACAAGTGATGGTGCCGAACGGCATTACACACCAAGTGGTGACAGACGATACGGAGGGTGTTGGGGCCATCTTGGATTGGCTGCCCTTTGGCTTGGTTAAAGCATGTTAAATCGATGGGGCTTGGGTGGTGCTTCGCCGATTCGTTGGACCAACACCGATGCATCGGACCCGATGAAGCGGCCAGGTCGTATGTGCCAAAGACTGCCCACGAAAATCCGCCAATGCTGGATCCCCTCGACCCGATCTCCCGCGAAGTCACCTTCGTGCCGTCCAAGACGCCATATGATCCCCGTCACATGTTGGCAGGCTCGGCTTGCCGTGGCGCTGATGTGCAACCCGCACCCACACTGACCCACCATGTGTTGGCAGGTACTTCATTGCCAGAGGGGAGCAAGCTGACAGGTTTCTTTGATGAGGGAACCTTCAGGGAGTGCTTCGGATGCATGCAGGAGCTAAAAGACTGGGCTGCCTGAGCACACCCTATGAACTTCCTTAGGCTCAACTTGTGTAGAACTGAAACAAGCAGAAGCCAGAGGAGACCCCTCGGATTTCGAGACCGCACCTTGCAACCCCCTTCGCTCTCTATGATTCGCCACAAAGTTTGATTGCATGCTTTTCTGCCTGGCGCTTCCAGGTATTTGCCAGGCTGGGGCAAAAGCGTGGTGGTTGGCAGGGGCAAGCTTGGGGGCATTCCAATGGGCGTCATTGCAGTTGAGACCAGACGCTTGGAGAACACGGTTACACGGTTTCTCGGATGTCCATTGCTGAAGTGTACCGAGGGGGCGAGTGGTATTTCATGTCACCAACGCTTTCGTTTACGAAATCCATTCGTTTTCGAACGAACTGTTCCAGCTGTTCCCGTCTGGAACTGACCGCCAACCTCCCAGGAAGCATGGACCGCAAGATTCCAGCTGATCCTGCCAACCCTGCGAGCCAGGAGGTGGTAGAGCCACAAGCTGGACAGGTGCAGCAGCCGCAGTTGCCAAAGGTGTTTTTCTTCACAAGATGAAACCATAGGAGACAGTGGCAGCCGAGCCGCAGCCTTTTTTCATTTCACGTCATCTTCTGGCACGAAGATGTTTGCACTTGTTTTTGGACGGCCTTTGTTCTTCCGACAGTGGGGTGCCGGTCAGGTGTGGTTTCCAGACAGCGCCTTCAAAACGGCCACGGCCATTCGAGATTTCAATCGTGGTGAGAACCTGCCCCTCATCATCTTTGCCAACTGGAGAGGCTTCTCAGGTCGGGTCGTTGGAGCGGGAGCGTGCGTGGAGCGAAGAACGCGTGCCGGACGGAGCGGCCACGGCGGAGCGTAGCCGAGGTCACCTCGGAGTGTCGGGTACCCCTGCAGGGTCGGATCCAGATGGAACCCCCCACAAACCACTGAGTTGGTGTGAGGAACATGGTTGAAACATGGACTCCGCCCGCGAGGGTCAATTCTCAGGTTCTCATGGGATCGCGACAGCATGGGGGGGGGGGGTAGGTGGCGCTCCTGACGCGTGTGCGGTCCGACTGTGGGTTTGTTTTGGGTCAACGACAGCGCCAAAGCGACCCCAGTGGGGAAGCCCCAGGTGGAACCCGCGACATGTACCAGGAGGTCTTGAAATTTGGAGCTCAGATCGTGGATGCCCTCGTGGAATACAAGAGCCCCGTCTTTGTCTACATCCCGCCTGGGGGTGAACTTCGAGGCGGCTCCTGGGTGGTGATTGATCCCACGATTAACCCTGAACAAATGGAGCCTTGGAGATGTTTGAGGAACACGTTTGAGGATAAACTTGGAAGGTACAATGCATGTGTCACTTGCATTGCGTCATTCAGTCGTCGATTTGTTTGTGGCAGCGAACTAAGCATGCTTTGAGAGTTCAGTTCAGGCTTTGATACTTTTTCCTGATGGTGTAGTCATCCGGATGACCTAAACTGTGGCCTGAGTCAATAAGGAGATGTACGCTGATGTGGAGTCGCGCGGTGGTATTTTGGAGCCACCAGGTATTGTGGAGGTCGCTGGGTGTCAACAGAACGAGGATCATGAATCATGATAGTTCTTGAGGTTTCTGTAGATTTTCTGTAGGTATGTCCCACAATCCTACGTATGTATATATATATATAGGACACTTCGCCACTGTTTCTTCAATATCACTGTCGGAAACTGCAACTCATCAAGTCGGCCAACGATTTCATGCTTTCGACTTGGCCGTAAGACCACCATCCCCATGGTTTAAGTTCTGCTTTCCGGTGCTTTGCTTCACTGGACGGCTGCTTCAGGTCAAGTTCCGGGCTGCGCAGCAACGAGAGCTGATGCACCGCTTAGACCCGGATCTGCGGAAGCTGGATGCCATGCTGGAGGCCGTCCGTGGAGGTCATAGACGTCATAAGCGCACGCTAAGCGCAGCGCACGCATCACCTTCGGTTTTAGACCCCTCACGCATACTCCACGTGCTCTTGGGTTTGTGCTGTCGGTGGCCAGTTTTGGGTACAATGAGATGTTTATGAACATGGTACCTTTGTTTTGGATGCCACCTGATTTGGATGCAATGGAGGAATCTTCATCGTCGGAAGTGGGCAGTGCAGCCCAGGACATCGAGGCACAAATCAAGGCAAGAGAGGACTGCCCATGGGTGCTGCCCATGGGGGCATCGGTGGTTAAGAGTGAACGAGGGGAAGGCCCAAACTTCTTACTCTCATCAGCTGAGCTATACTAAGCGCTAAGCTACGGTATGTTTCTCCCGGGTCCGTGACGTCACTAGCATGCCTTCCTCGTCTTCAGGACAAGCTGGCACCCCTCTATACTCAAATCGCTTGCGAGTTTGCGGACCTCCACGATCGCACCGGGCGGATGGAAGCCACCGGTGTGATTCGACAGGCAGGGAGCGCCATTTCCTGGGAGAAAATAAGCGCCAGAAATGCACAGAATGGCAATCAATGATTTTTTTGCATTTTATTGCTCTCTTTTCGTGGTTCATGATTGTGTGCCTAGCGTGGGGGTAAGTGGTGTGGGGGGAAAAGGACCTACATTTGTGTTGCGCACCGGCTTTGTGTATCAAGTTCCTGGAGGAAGCTTCAGAATTCGGAAGTTGGTGTTGCTGGTTGAAGCATGCTGAAGTATTTGCAGGGGCTGGAGTGGAGACATTCCAGAGAGTTCTTCTACTGGCGAGTGAAGTGCCGATTGCTGCGGAAGGACCGAACATGCGCTTGTTTGTTCTTCCAACGAAGTGATCTTGATCAACCGAATCCAGTACATACTACCTGGGGATGAGCTGAAGCAGATAGAAGCAATTTCCTGTTTGGTCAGATGAAGTAACCTCATGAAATGCATACTGTATGATGCTGTATGTATACATATATATATATATACATGTATATGTATACTGTACATTTATGATCATTTATATAATGTAGGTCCAGGTATATTATCACCGTTGCTGCCAACAATTTAAAGTGGGGGTGGTTAAGCACGCTTTTGTCATTTTATGTGACTCATTCAGTATAAAGAAGACAATTGATGCCCAATGTTTTAACTGGCAGACTGAAACTTTTAAACACATATATAATGACTTGAAACACCTCTCACCTAATTTTAGAACACAATGAGCGTACCTAACCTGTATTCTCATCAGCACCGGGGATGATATATTATATTGTATTATATACATATTTCCGAAGATATGTAGGGTAACGGCACCATGACGATCGCTTGCCGAGCAGAACGCCACGTCTTGTTGTTGGGGCTCTTACAGATCCAGCTGTGCAGGATGTGGAGCAGAAGATCCAACTCGCCGACCCCGACATGTCTGCCCAGGACCGTCTCGTCGCAGTTCCGGGAGTGCCCGGAGCTCCGCGGAGGCTGTTTTTTTTTGGAAATGCAAAGTCAGACAGAATACATAGCGAACATGTGGTGACCGTTTGCATATCTACCTGAGACTGAGGCGCGGTCCGATGAGGGTGTCCTGTTACTGTTTGGAAGCTTGATAGGTTGACACGTAACCTGGCGGACACTCTTAACACGCCAACCATCTTGTGCATGGAAGGGGCCGGCAAATGAGCTCAAGCGATTGCCCCTCCAGGATGTGCAAATGCTTCTGTCCAGCTGGCTGTCAGAGGCCAGTCAATTGCGCTGCACCTTCAGTAGTCTTTGGAACTGAGAACGGGTTTGGTAGAAGCTCGAAGGAAAGTCAGCATCAGCAGAAGCATCAAGAGTGATTAGTGGAGGGTCTCAATTTGACAGGCCAGTCAGGATGATGACAAGAGTATTGTCAACTTCCTGGAAGGAAACCCATTTGACCCTTGCCTGAACTGAGTCATAAGGACAGAAAATCAGATGAGAGACACGTAGAACCACTAAAATCCATTGATTTACTGTACGTATACATATATATATATACATCTAAGGCAGTTTTGGGCGTGGAATGAACCAAACAAAAGAATCACAACCACAAGCATCTAATATAGATCACGGGGAGATACTGTCCCCAAAGGCGCCGCGCAACAAAGTCAAGTGGACCTCAGTGTAAACTAACACAACAAAATCGGAGGTAAATCTCCACCAGCTGATGACGCAAAACCTGAGGCTGAGAAGCTGAAGCAGCTCAAGGTGGATGTGACGAAGCGACAAATCAAGGCAGCGCAGGGTTTCCGGGGGAGTTTCCACGCGAAATTCTCTGTCTTTTTTTTCTAGGAGGTAGGTTAGCTAGAAGTAGGTAGCTAGTGGGGAGAGGTAGCTAGTAGCTACTACTTAGGACGTAGGATAGCTCACGCTTCTTCAAGGAAGCTTACTTGAAGACGCGCTCGCACTAATGATTTGGTTCCTAGACTTATAGGGACACTTAACTTAACATTAGTATCCTATGACCTGAAGTCGCCTGCATGGCTTGAGTATGCTTCTCAGCACGCTGAACTCCACAGGCACTATTGGAGAAGCTGCCTGAGAGCGAACGTGAGGGGTTGGTGTGCTTTGGCCACGACGCGTGCGCCGAGCACAACAAAACCCGCTACCCTTCTGCGCCTGCCAGGCTGGCAGAACCAACAGAGGGCTAGGAATTGTGGCTCCGTTTCAGCTCATGGAGCCATCAGGTGGGAGGCTGCCAAAAAGCAAGCATGGAAGACTCTTGTTGCCTGAAGGGGGTCCAAACGCCCCCCGTCGACTTGCGACGAGCCGCTTACCTCGCGTGGTCTTCGCCGACCGACGCGGAATGCCCCCCGGAGGATCCGAAGCAGGATGATTCACCCCAGAACGTCACGGAATGTTTTGTTTGTGCCCAACATGCTCATGCGCTGAGGTAAATTGTTTTCCACTGTGCCCTGGCAGCCTTTGAAGCATGCCGAGTTTTCCACTGTGCCCTGGCAGCATTTGAAGCATGCCGAGGCTTTTTGTAGCTCGAAACTCGACATGCACATGCACATCGTGTCTTGGGACGGCGCTGCTCCGCCGTGTTGCATGCACGTAAGAATCCGCCATGCACGTGGGTAGAGGTTTTGTTGGAATGACAGGTCAATTTGGCCAAAAGCGCAGGGAACCGATGCAGCAGCCGAGTGAGAAGTCAAAGCAACTGAGGTGATCATAACCGAAGATGAGAAAGATGAGGAAATGGTCTGTCACGTTTCAATAGACATAGTTGACAGCAAATTCGGGTAGAGCTGGATGCTCTCCGGTGAGGCAGTCGCTTCGGAACGCAGAAAAACGATCGCTTCGGAACGCGGGAATGTGATCGCTTCGGAACGCGTGTCATTGCTAGTAGGTTGGAGGCCATCGCTACTACTATGGGGGGCATCGCTAGTAGATTGGAGGCCACCGTAACCACTAGCAAGATGCCTACGAATGCCCACGATTGTGTTTGTTATGGTACTGTGGAAGCAATTAGCAAAAAGAGATCATCATGTAGATGAATGTCCAGACAGACGTTATTAACACCCCCCACCCCCCACACCCACCCCATCCCCCCCACCCCACCCCATCCTTCATCTTTAAACCCTCTCCATCCGTGTCTGTGTGTGTGTGTGTGTGTGTCAACACCTGTCTCCAAGGTTTTGCGTTTCATGTCTCATTTGCGAGCAGGGGGCCACGGGGGTCGCAGAGGAGCGGTGGCCAACGAAGACCTCCTCTGGGACCCGTGCAAACGTACCTGCAGAACTAGTTACCTGTTGTTCTCGCTGTGGCTTGCTTTCATGGTGGTTCATGTATGGAAGCATGGTAAAGGGCTACTGCGTTTGTTAAACAGTTCTTCTCTCCGACCCAGCATTCATTCCGTTCTGCAAGTCATGGGCTAGGTATTCAGTAACTAAAGTGCTAGGTAGTCAGTAACTAATTTCTGGAACTTCGTCAACTGATTCTAACATCGAGCCCCTGTCTGTATGGCCCATTCTTAAGTGTTTTCTTTGGGCCTGGGTGAAAAGACTCAAACCCATCAAAGTTTATGATTCTCTTGATGCTTTTGTTAGACTCAGAAACTGGCTTGCTTTGAGGTTAGGTTGGCGGCCGTTTCGATTAGTTGGGAGGCCATCGCTATTAGGTTGGAGGCCATTGCTTGTAGGTTGGAGGCTATGCTTCTAGGTTGGAGGCCATCGCTATGAGCTTGGAGGCCATCGCTATTAGGTTAGAGGCCATTGTTTCTAGGTTGGAGGTATTGATCCATAGCCAATCCACAGCAATATCAACACAATATTGTCAAGTGCAAGCAACTTCTCAACCCCTGCCTGGTAGGCTTGACTGTAGCAGCCACCGTGGTAGCAATGGATAATTGCAAGTTCTGGCAGGCTAAGGCCTTTGTTGTGTGTTTCAACACCACCACATGCACCTTTATGGGCGCCCACATGTGCCCGGATGCGGCGAACGGCAGTGCGAACAAATTGTCGAGAAGTGGCGTGACATCCAGTAGCTGCAAAACGTTACAGTAACTGTTGCACCATGAGGAGTAAGACATCTGAAACACATACTCTTGCACACCCCAAGATGCTGGTCCTTTCAAGCACCTATGCTGGTCCAGATGTTGTTTGGGGTGTCAACGCACTTGCGGGACCCAGCGTTCGTGTGTTTTTTTTAGACACCCGGCATGCATCATCATAGTGTCGTAGCTGTGTGATGATGTTTGTGTACGACGTGCACGTGCAAGATGATGCTACGTGCTTTCCGCGCGTGTTGGAAGATGTGAGGGGGCTGGGGCCAGGATAATGACGTTTGTCTGGAAGGACTTCCAAGATAAGACAAGCGTTTAACTCTATTGCTGCACTCTCCCGAAAGCTAACGCGGGTCCTCAGAATGGCACCCTGAAAGACATTGAAAGACTGTTTCCTTTACCAACCAGTGGTTTTCAGGGTCCATGTTCGTTTTCAGCATGGTAGGAGGCGCTTTCAGCGTGTGAAGATTTTGCCGTCTCAAAGTTTCGGTTCTGGTTGTGTCAAAGAAGTGGAGGAGACGTGTGCGACAACTTCGAACACGAAAAACGCAAAAAGGGCGAATCTCAAGATGTTTTGCAGTGCTAGACATGCATGATGCACCGTACATTTTTGGGTGCCGGTTGTAAGTTGTATGGTTGAGTTTTTGGTCCTCCGACTGGTAGCATCAACCCCCTTCAATCAACAAGACCCTTGATCGAGATGATGTTTCACAGGCCGGTGATGCCATGTCTGGTGCAGGTTTCACTCGATCAACTTCATGTTTGTACAACAGCTCCGACCTGCTCAGCCCTTTTGCTCTAGTAGAAACCCCGCAGAACCCATTGTAGTTCATCCTGCTGCAATTCCAGTGGCTGAGCCGAACTCCAGCCACGGTGCTGATGCAAGCACAGCTCTGCAGATACTTGGAACATCCCACGAGACCGACCATTCAGCGAGAACGGGAAGAAAGTGGCGATGATTCCCCACATAAAACCCACTCGCAAGCAGACACACAAGCACAACTGCCCCGGCAACCATTTTGACATGACAAGTGGTGTAGTTCTAGTGTGATTTCTGGTGCTGGCCACTTGCGTGCTATAGACGACCTTATACTATACACAGTGCTTAGTGCTTGAACATGCTTTAACGTGTGTACCCCACAAAGGAAACATTTGGTGGACATTCAATTTTTGCAGGGTCTAGCTAACTGCTTTCTGAGTGTGCAGCCTGGCCATTCCTTGCGCCATGCAACAAGATGGAAAAGCGGATGCAGTGCAAGCTATTGACAATTGTCTGCGACAAAGGAGGGCCCAAGATGAGCATTGGGGTTTCGGCTTAAAGGTGATTCGTAGCACACAATTCACCTAAGAGAGTTTAGAGGACTGGGTGACAACCAGATTCCGCAAGCTTCGCCCATTTGGATGTCCCAACTTTCGGCAACTGACTGTGACTTTGCTGTTGAGACTCGTGAAGTCTCCAGGCTTCTTCGCAGCACCAAAGTCATGTTCTTCTTCCACCGACATGCCCGTCACAAGGACAAGTTGGGCCGGAGGCAGGGCAGTCGTTTCATCAAACCTCGGGGTGGCGGCCTGCCAACCTGAGATACACTTGCTCAGCACATATGAGCAAATGTAGTTCTTCATGCCTGATCCAACTTCCATTAAAGTACGGGTCTACAGCACCTTGGTTGAAGAAGGTTGCAAGCACCTGTCACAACAGATTGGGAGTCACCTGACCTGTCACAGGTCATTGGACTTGAGTGGAGCCATCAGTATGACAGCCGATTTGGCTCCTCGATAGTTTTGGTGCAGGGCACTGGCATCTCAGTTTGTCGAGGACTTGTTGGGTCGGTGGTCAGGGTGTTGTTGAACGCTGATATGGCCCTTCAAATCAAGGCGAAGAAGGGAGGCCAAGCATAATGTGCAATTTTGTAATGTGGACTCTTGATTAATAACACCCATACCTGATTGGCTATGACACCCCGCCACCCCAAAGTTTATTTTCTCCATTTTTCCCAAACAGCTGAAACCGTGTGAGGGGTTCTTACTCCTTTGAATGGTTGCCCGTGCTGGTCCTAGGGTCTGTGGGTTCGGTGATGCTGGGTCCCTTCGTTTGCACCATTGGTTCAGCACAAGAGCCGAGCGCTTTCACTGAAAGGTACATGTTTGACGCGTGGTGAAGGCAAAGGGAGATCCTCTTTTGCGTTTTTTTTCTCCCCTGGTTGGGGTCTACTTTTCTTGTTTTTCTTTGCTGAATCGATTGAGACACTGCATTGCATATGTAGTGCATGGGGAGAGGGTGCCGTAAGATGGTGGTTGCCTCGCCATTTGTGCATTTTATTCTGGCAAGCCGCAATTGATACAGCCACCGGCAATTGTTTTGGTAAGTCTTTACATCAACTCGTCCTGATGATACACATACATAAACAGCAAAAAATATATAGATCAGTGGCATATATATATATATATGTATCGTGGTCACCTTGGACCGTGGAATGCCCATGCACTAAGCCTGACAGGTGGGGAGTTAAAATTCCTAGTCCGATGTTCGTCCGGAAATGCTGAAGGGTAGCAACTTCCAAACTTCCTCATGCTGAAGGGTTTGTCCGAACCACTGTGAAAGGAACTACGCCAGGAAATCCCTGCCTTCAAAAAGGTGTCTTTCCTTGCTAGTCGAAGGTCGCTCAGCATACATTGCGTCAATATTCTACTAACCATTCTGGAAGCACACCAATATTCTATGGTGTGCAAGAAACATCACTTTGGAACACATCGGAATCTCGGAACGAACTAACCCTTCAAAACACAGACTCTGGCCCAATAATTAACATAGTGCCGTTCCGAAACCTTTAAGGGGAGCCTTTGTATACTAGTCGTGTGTGACAGTGTAGGGGAGGTCGTTGAGAAAGAACATCCTATTGTAGTGGGGGGTGTTGTGGAGCCGCCTTGTTGTAGGGTACGGTAGGGACGGAGGGCGTAACTTCCAGTTTCGCTACAAAGATCCTTTTCAAGTGGTTGCCTCATCTCTTCTTTTGGTTCTTCCTGTGGATCTCTAAGTCTTCTTCGCAGCTGCTTTGCTCTTGGTCAAGTCAAGTAGCTTTCTATTTCTTGCTCATCAATTTCCATTCCTAGAACTGTTGAACTATCATGTTTGAGAACGATTCACAAAATGTAGGAAAGCAATAGGGTTTCGGGAGCTTTACAAGATACCAAAGGATTGATTGCAGTCCCGATCCTGCCAATATTTTTTCGAACCTATTGATGCATAGAGTCTAGCTTGTCTTTCATCAGCCACTACCCTGCTTACACAGTGGCTGTACCCTTCTTAGCTAGTTTGTGCTATTACTATTTCTAGTCAGCTCCTTCTTCTTGTTCAGCTGTTTCCTTGCTGATGCAATTGGTTTGCCCTTCCTTTTCCCAAGCAAGATCTTTCTAATCTCACTGTGCCTGCTTCTTCCTCCATTGCTTTGTTGTTGCTACTTGCTTGAATCTTTCTTGATGCATTTTCTTGCATTGATCCTTTTCCCTCTTGGTTGGTCCGTTCAAGTTCTATTGACAGTCATATATAATATATAGCTCCTCTTCCTTATGCAGACGAGTAGAACATGAATAGTCAGCGTAGCAATGAATCCAGTTGACACAAGTAGAGCAAGGGTAGGAGGGGGCAAAGCAAATTCGGGAAAGAACAGCAGTTGAAGGGAAACATTGGGTCTGGTCCTGTTTCTGTTTGCCGGACAGGCAGCATTAGAGAAGGTTGAAAAGGGCGCATTGAATTGTTTTAGCTTTAATGAGGCAGCTGATCAGAATCAGTGAACAATTAGGAAATTGCTCGGTGAATATAACAAATCCACATAACCTCAGGAGAGAGAGAGAGAGAGAGAGAAGCATCGGTGAAAGAGGAAACGCACATATACTAACAATTGGAAGACTGTACGGGACTTCAGCCACCGGATAATGTAAATAATGCCGCCCACCGGTGTAAAGGAATGGGAGCAGATGGCGCACACATTTGCAACGTTTTTGATTAGCATTTGCCTTCTTGATCGATTGCTCTGTATGGTTTTGGCTCCTCCTCTCATTGCTGTACTTACTTTTTCTAGGCTGTTTTGTTCCATCTCTCAGTTAGCCCTTCTTGCTTGTTTGTGGCTTCAAGCCCTATGCGGGAAGTATGTATAGATATATATATAGATATGCTAGAAAGACCTGTCAACTCAATCTTTTCTTACTTGGTTCCTCTACCCTTTTGTGACTAGCTTGTTTCATTGCCTCAGCTCATGTGTCGAATTCATTCTCTCCTCTGTCATTTATAGAGCTTTCCCTGCCTTTCTATCATGGCCTTTTCTTCACACGTTCTTCCTATTCTTGAGGGGCTTTTGACTTTCTCTTGGTCTAGTGGCTTTTCAACGTCTAGCGTAGATCTTTCCAAGACCTTCAGATTCACAATCAGCTTTCCCCTTCTTCAGTCGCTTTTGGGTCTCTTGTTCAGCTCTTGCAATTCTTTTTGCACATTTCTATTATCTGTCTTAATGCCCCAGGCTTCTTACTGGAGAACTCAGACGGAAAAAAGAGAAAGGCTGCTTGAGAAAGTCAAAAGATCCATTGAGAACACGTTGATCTAGGCGACATAAGATGACGGCGATTGGCCCGCTGCCTTTGACAAAGAAGGCGCTCCTCAAGACTAGGAGAAGACGCGTAAACAGAGACAGTAGTCAAGAATGGAAGGGCTGCTTCTAAGAGAAAGAGTCATCAACGGGAGGAGTAGTTGGCGCAACTGTAAAATCAAACTAAGGTAGGGAGAAGAAGAGTAGGAACAGGCAAAGCAATTTCAGAAGAGGAGGACATCAACGCAGCACATGGGTTTTGCCATGGACAGTTCCACGAAATTGTGGACGAACCGCCAAGGAAAACAGTTCCAAGGATACACGTGAAGAAACCTTTCAAGAGGTGAGGGCATGTAAGAGTATCTACCCACAGCTCGTAGCTTTGTTCAAACGTGCCCACATAATAACACCATGCAGTGACAACAATTGAACGCACTTTCACAAAAAGAATGCCATCGGCATAGTACAAACACATATTCACATGTCCATCTCATCCGAAAGCAGAGAGCCAATTTACACCTGGGAATGGCAACCAAAAGCTTGCCAAAGCACTCGATAAATAAATACATATATGCATTTACCTGTGTACAGTACACATATATATGTATCTATGTGTGTATGCACACGGGTACACACACACACATCTATTTATATATATATACATACATATTCTTGACTTCTTGGGGGCGGGGCAGGTAACCTGGAATCCTCCTCCAGTCCATGTTTGGAACCTGGGGCCATCCCAAACCCTGATCCAGCAGCGGCCAGAAAGACAACGCCTGACAGATTCGCTTTTTGTGGCATGGGACGTCCATCTCCAATCCAAGTCTTGTGTGCCAAGGCCAGACACTTTGCATTGCCTGATGTAATTTTCAGCTTCTCGGCATGTGGAGTCAGAGGATAACAGAAGTCATAGGCAGTGTTGTATGGAACCTTGGGTAACTGAGTTCGAGAGGAATTCTGATCAGCGCGGCAGTGCTGTAACCTCTGAGGCAATTTGCCAGAGACCTTTAGTAGCTTTGACTTCACTGGAAGTGGCATGCTTTGCCTCGAAGAGACGCGACTTATCTCTGACTAAAAACGCCTGCCGGGTTTACTCTTTGCTTTCCTTTGTTGGCTTCATTGAAATCCCAGATTTTCTTACAGGACCAGAGTCTGTAGTGAGGAGAGTGATGGTGAAGAAGACCCTGCTTCAATGGCGCTGGGCCCTTTCCGGAGGGCCTGCGCAGCTGGATGGTGAATTTGTGACCAGCACACTGGAGGAGTACAGCTGGATTCCTGCAACCTGCACATATATGCACATATAGTGGTCCCCAAATAGATAGTTCCACGATTTCCAATACATTGTGACACGGATTTTAAGTTTCTATCTATTCAGGGGTCTATATAGAGTTTGTAAGAAGGTTTGGATCACCATGCTGGAGCAACTCTGACTTTTCGGTATCTGGCAACCCTTATCATCCAGCTGCTTCTTTGAAAGAAGCATCAAAGTGGTGACACATGAGAAGTCGCAGAGCAGCAGGACGGAGGCTATTCGGTTGTACGTGAGATGGGTCGCGGCGGACAAGGCAATGGTCTTCTTCGGCAACAAGGATAAAGTACTAGATTGTTGACAGACTTTGCAGACTTTAGAGTCTTTAGAGCTTTATGAAGCATGTGATGGGCTGCCAGCTGGCTGTCAGCGGCCAGGCATCATGTACCTGGCGAGGAAAACCGAAGAGAGTTCTTCGTGGTTTGGGTATTTGTCAAATTGCCCCTTGGTCAGTTGTCATGTTGCCACAATGAGTTCAGCCTCAAGCGGCCTTCAAGCGAGGTGGCCAGTCTCAAGTACGCGCCACATATTGCATAAAGTTCTACAGCAAGAAGAATGCAAATGCTGGAGGCTGGAAAGCACTCAATGGAGTCTTTCATGGTTTACTGTAATCGCAAGTGGCAAGGCGTGTCCGGCTACGCCAGTCTTTAAACCCACATTGAACGCCTGACCCGCATTGCTCTAGAGCAAACCCAAGCTTTATTTCCATCAGGCTTGCAAGAAATACTGGAACCTAAGATGCAAGAAGCAGACAGTATTCATATCTCAGCCTCGTCCCATGGCAAGTCACGCTGTTTCGAGTTGTTCTCGTTTCAGCCGAGGAAGAATTTCACCGCATGAAAGAGTTCGACAATGTCCATGTGGCAAGGACTCGTATTTCAGCTCAGCAGATTTCTGTATTACTGCAGTGATTTTCCACACAGCCACACAATACATCAAAATATGTCTCGGTATTCTAAGACATGGCCAGGACGTTTGAAGCCTTCCACGATCAAGATTTCGTTTACTTGGTGAATGAACCGTGCCCCTGAAAGACAGACGCAAAAGACAGTGGAGCCCCAGATGGATCTCCGGATCCACGAAAAAGCCAGGTATTTTGGAGGCGATTTCACCAAGCTGGCAAAGAGAGCCTACGTGCTTTGGCTGCCGAAGGGCTGTTTTGCTGTGGATTCGATCGATCGAGCCCCTCGATGCGAGCAGCGACGTAGGGCGTGAGGGCCATGAGAGCCAGGATGAGCCAGGATGCTGTGAACATGAAGATGCTTTTGGGTGTGCGGAGTCATCGTCGCACATGGTTTGTGCATCCCAAGACGGAGGGAATCAGCCTCGAGGCTTTTTTGGGAATGCTTCTTGTGTGATGGACATGTCAAGTGATGATGTTTGTGGTAGTCGGTGATTGCGGCGGCACGTGTCTAGAAATCCCGACTGTTGAACACTTTTCTCTGGAAAGCCTTACTTTTACACTTTTCTCTAGACATCTCTACCTTTGGATAATGTGACCAGGATTGCACTTTTGAAGCCCCCTATCTGAAGATCTCTAGTTTTTGGTTGCCGGCGTCCGGCACCAGACTCCCGCTTGGCCCCGCTCTCTGAGGTACTCACGCACAGTAAACACACAAAAGTGACTGCAACCTTTTGTAACACTCGAAAATGTCTCTTGTAAAGATCCCTTCAAAACAGTACTGCCACTTGTGTACAGCAGCATTCATTCATCCCCGTGAATCACCTTGTCTCATTTTGTGTCATGGTACATCGAATTTGCATATGGATTGATTTTGTAATGTAGACTCTCGTTTTGAAAAGCAATTGGGGGGTTCGGTTTATTAATCAAGAGTCTGGTTTTATCATTTAGCCTTTGTCGCTGCAGCTCCTCCAAGTCAAACTTGGATTTGAGACTCCGCTGAGACTAGCAGGTTCTGGGAGCCTTGTGTGCCCGCCCTTGTGTCCAATTCACCCCAGCTGCTAGATGGCTGCCCAGGAGTTCTGTAATTCTAAAGCTGCACAACGACTGAACAGTGACGGTGGTATTCACTTTCTCAATTAGGACCACAGTAGTCGGCAAACCTCGCTGAACATACTTTGGATAAATAATGGTAAATATATATATATATATATATCTATATATGTATATTATGTTTACATGTTCAATTCTATTTGTATCCACTTCCCGTCTCATTTTGCAAGCACCCATCCTAGAGTCCTAGCATGCCAATCAAGACAAATCCATTCCCGGTGCCTTTCAAAAGGCTTGCCTGGCTCCCAAACCGAGTCTGGTTTCATGTCAGCTGCCGGCTGTCGGCAAGGACAAAGGAGTTGAGATGCGAGAAAGCTGGTGGCGTGATATTTTTCGCCAATGCTTGGAAGGCAGCCCATTCCAATCAATGCACTCAACAATGTTTTGATTCACGTAGCACGAGTTTGGTTTCCTTTTCCTGGTTTCTGGTCCATGGATGTGGTTTTCCGAACATTTGGTTGGAAGGTTTGGAATATCTGCATCGGGAGGCCCAGATGCACTGTGCACCTCGGCGCGCAGGGCACTCCCCAAAGACCGGAAAATATCAATCACCCAGACCTAGGAAATTGAGGCATTCAAGACACTTGAGGGATATGTTATGTTGTTTGGGGCTTATGGAGTGCTTTCTTCTTGAAACAAACAGGTTTCGAAAGGTTGGAGGTCTCCAAGATTCTCTCACCGATTCCACCAGAGGATGTTCTGTTTCGCTGAACATGGGAGGTTCCTGAGTTTGCTCGGTTCGAGTCCATTTGCGACTCATGTTGCCCGGGCACTCGCGGGGCTGTTTGTTCTTGTTCGTTTTTGGCGTTTGTGCATTCAATTGGATGTTTGGTTGTTCACTCAGGACATTAAGGAGCCAAACCTGATGATACGCCACGATGATGACTTCACAAAACCGGAGGTTGTCCTCATAGGCCAGCTCCAGCTTTTGCAGATGGAGATCAAACAGCTCAAGAGATTCAAGTGTAGTGATCAGATATGTAGCAGGGCGGTATGGAAGGCTTATATGATCAGAGCCTGCAACAGTTTGAGGAAAGGAACCTGCTGCAGCGATGGCATGCAATCTCCTTCTGTCTGTACAACTTGCACAATAACCAAGCAGACGGACGGACAAACAGAGAGAGAGAGAGAGAGACAGACAGACGGAGGGAGGGATGGATGGATGGATGGATCGATAGATAGATAGATAGATATATAGATAGATAGATAGATAAGTAAGATAGATAGATAGATAGATAGACGATCGAGATAAACATGAGCGGATTCATTTCCTTTGCTCTTCCCAGATTTTGGCCTGGCGCAGAATATCTCCGTGAAGGTGACCGGCCTCAGCGGAACGCCAGGCCGGTTTGCATGTACGGACTGGCAGCGAAAGGCATGTGTGAAAGTGGTTTGGCCTGCCATTCATTGCCATCTGCCATCAGCATTTGTCTTGTTTTATTGGGTTTGCGCAGGTGAAAGGGTCTTGGACTACCATTTGAGCAGCGTAATTAAGTCCAAGAGCCTTCCGTCGCACAAACAGATCCTGTACATGAACACGTCCAACGATAAAGGGGTCGCCAGTGTCTTCAGCCAATCATGCCGGGGTCAACAGTTTTAGCTGCTTGCATGGGAATGAATGTTTAGAATGAGCCTAACTGACCAACAGAGAGTGGATAGGCTACATTCCGCCAGAAACTTGGCGAAAGCAGCGGTGGCAGCCCCAGGGAGAGCCTTGGAAGGCACTTGATTTGAAAGCAGCGAAGGCACTTTCTGGCATACACCCTCGTGGCGCAGAGCAACGAATGAGAAGTCTGCACAAAGACTTCCCAAGAAAAGCGCATGCACACTTATTTAACCGCATTTACGCTAAATAGTGCTGGAATGGAAGAGAGGCGTAGACCCATCCGTGTCAGGGCTCCCATCTGCCACCTGAAAATCTCTCCCATCTGGTGTCAGGGCGCCCGGGTCACCTGAGGATATCTTCAGTCTTGGAGTGGTCTTCTTCCAGTTGATGTCTGCTCGGGTGCCGAGAAGTGGCCTCGACAAAGTGCAGGGCATCTTCCAGGCGCGAGGGGAGCACCGCGGTCTGTGGACGGGGACCGTTGAGGCGGCGGTTCTCACGCAGTGGGCCGATGAGCAAGACAAAAAGGACATGGAAAAAGGACCACATGCAGCGTGAAACGACTGGGTGGTTGATGAGAAAGAACAGTGTTTGTTTGGGGTCCATGTTCATGGTCGATGTGAGTCTTCAGGGGGTTAAGCAATCAAATCCTTATGTGAAGATGCTTGATTCTAGGTATGATACCACGAGCCACTTAGGCATCATCGGGTTGCTCTTTTGATCCATCTTTGATTAGGTGCCGGAACCGGACAAGAGTGACTAATGAATCAAGTTCGAACGTGAGCTGCAGAGTCACCGCGCGAGGAAGGCGCCAAGAATGTGCAAGCGTCCTGCCAGCAAAGGCACTATGTATTTCTTTGCGATGAAGTGGAGCTGTCATGTGAAGTGGAGCTGTCATGAGCTGTCACTTGCTTCCGTTGCGAGAAGGAGCATCTACCTTTGCCAGCCAAGGACGTTGGCCAACTAACTGTAACATGCCAGCCACCGTGGAAGCTCTTTCCTACCCACTTGCTGCTTGGCTTGAGGGAACTTCGTCCTGCGCTTTGCATTTATCTTGAGATCTCCGATTGGGAGCTTGATAAGTTCCTCTGATTTTATATGATGTTATTGTTTCAGATCTGTTTTCACTGGCTTGTCGACTTCCCAACAGCCTTGCACATTTCTATGCCAATATATAGACGTGACAACACGCCACCTGCATCTCATCCTGACAGCCAAGGCGCTTATTGACCGAGTTGGTCTCCGCCATGCTGCGCCACTTGACGAAAGCATCTGCGTGTGGCATGCGTTTTTCCAGCAGACCCCTGAGGGAAGGACCCCGAGCAGCGTCCACGCGCCCTTCAAGCTTTGCAATATGGTTGGCCTGGAGCTCAGAGCGAGCGGCAGGACCTGGGACCGACCTGAGCGACCTGGAGCTCCGATTTCTGATGAGCTCGGTCCGTGTGCACGTGCTGCTTTGAGGTTCTTCTCGACCTCAGATCAAGAATTGCCCAAGGCACAGCCTCAGGTTTCGAGAGAATGGCCTTGCCCCAAAAACGACCTGAACTTGTGACTCCGTCAGGACACGCTTGGCTCCTTGATCAGAAGCTTGGCATGGGTCATTCCTCCAACTCAGGGTGCATCAGGGTCGACTCGGCGATCCCGCAAGGGCTCCAGTCAGGCCCTTTTTGTCGCCCTAACCGACCGGTTGATAGAGGGCATACTTGGCGCAGTGAACCACAGGTCGGTACTGACCATCATCGACCCATCATGCGAGCTGAAGCGAGCGAGGCTTCGGAGGGAGCGAGGCTTCGGAGATCGGTCACCCGAGGTGGCTCGGCGAAAGCCTTCTTCAAAGGTGAGCTGATCAACGAGCTCCTTGAGCAGCTTGGAAGGAGCAGTTTGCTGAGGCCCCGTTTGGGTTTGTAGAGCTGCATGCTAAGGTGCTGCAACTTGCGCGAGCTGCGCAAATTGAAGGCAGCCCTCGATGTGGCTGAGCTTGAGCTGGGTATGTTTAGAGATCTCACCAGAATGCAGTCCAGAATGTCCAGACATTTAGAGTGAGTTTTGGATGTTTCGGGATGTTTTGGGGGGAAGATGTGTGCAGGCATGTTTCAAGGAAGGAATTGGAGGGAATTCCACAGCTACAAGCGCTTGGTCTAAGTTGCATTTATTTTTGAACAGTTTCATCTTTTATGCCCGTGAACAGTCTGAGTCTGTGGCATACTTTTGAAAGACAATTTGGATGTTGTGTCATGCTGTCATGATGTTGTTGATCTTTGTTATCCATCACTGTTTCCTGCGTGCGTGCAGTGTTTTGATTCTTTTTGTAGTTTTAGGTGATTTTCAGGCATGTGCGAAACAAAGCAACTCGTGCCAGTCGTCCAAAACCCAGACAGCCAGCCAAAGATTCTTACTGCTGCCGTCTTACTTGCAAAAGTGATGGCCCCACACTTCCACTCTTGTGCAATCTAGATTTGGGAGCCTCCACTTCCACTCTTAAGCGCAAGCAGCGCAAGCTAAGCGTCGAATTTTGGAGACGCGCATGCTGCATCTTCGGTGTGCCATGCAGGGTTCTGCGGAAACACACTGAAACTGACAGACTGGGCACATGGCGTGAAGCAAAGCGCTTCCGTGGTTCGACCTCGTGGCGGTGACTGAGCTGACGCGAAAGTTCGAAGACGAGATGTGGCACTGGTGGCAGACTGGTGGTGCCATCACCAGCAGCGCTATGCCGTGGCCATGCTCTGCTTATAACACATTGCGGAAGGTCCGGACGGTGTACCATACCATAGGGCCATAGCGATTCGGACTTGGTGATGCAACACAGAACATTCAGCATGTAGCAGCGTAGCCAAAGCGCTGTGGTGGGCATGGCTTCTGGTTTTTGTTTTTGCTGTAGCGTAGCGCTGTGACTATTCTGACGTGACGTGACGTGACTGGGGTTGTCTTCAGCCCAGGCGGAAGCTTCGCGGAGATTCTCCAACCAGGTTAGGGTCATCACTTTCAGGCCAGGCAGTTGAGATATGTGGAAGATGGTACATAGCTGGGCTGCCAGGGCTAGCTGCTGGGGTTTGAGAGTGAACGCAGGAGCCTCATGGCTGATGCCGGGGTGCAAGCCTCATTGGTAGAGGCCGGGTTGACTTTTGAATGTTGCATTGGCATAAATGAAGTCAAGCTGTCAAGCGCTGGATTGCATGGTTGTGGTATGTTCATGTTGAGAAGCCAAGTGAGATTTTGTGTTCGCACTGCAGCCGCTAGCTGCCGCTGGTCCATTTCACCCGGCACCCACCGCGGTTTGCTGTCACAGCGATGGGTCAACAGCCGTGCTGTGCTGAAAGGGAAGACCATTGCTGGGCAACTTGGGCTGCAGTGAGGAGGGTGTGGAGAACTTTGGTTGGCGGTGCAGAGTAGATTCCCTTTTCTCACAGACAGTTGCTTGTAGGTAGTGGCAGCCCAATATTGAAAGAATTGTATAACATTGTATATATAACTATATATACATATATTTTCCGGCTTCCATCAAAAGACAAGTACTTCTACATATGTCAACTATATCTTTATATTAACGAACTTCCAGTTCAATAGTCTGTGCAACAAGCAGTGCAAACAATTAGACAAGTTCCCCCGATGATCCCCGATGAAAGAAGAACTAACATCTATTTTTGTACGGGCTTTACTTTTCCAAACTCTGCCCTTTTGCAGCGTTTCTTGTCGTCATCACCACGCCCCCAAGCCCAGGTCCGGAAAAGCCCGTCCGAGTTGCCGCCACTCACAGAGGAAGGCTTTCGCATAGCATGCAGGCGCGGTTTTGGACCACTGAGGGTATGGAAATCAAATATAATCAAACATATCGCTGGCTGGAACTGGATCAACAGCCTATGCGTCACACCGGAGTGACGGAAGGTGTTGTTGTGCAGAACAAGTGTCACACCAGACCAGATCAGCTGGCACTTCCTGGTACTTCCGAGTTGGTACACCCAGGAGGCCCACATGGAAACCCGGGCAGCACGCATGGACGAACGAACAGCGGAGCGTTCCGTTCCGTTCCGTTCATGGGGTTTCGCCTGGTTCGTGGGTCCACGTTCACCAGGGTTTTGGCACCGACCCGTTCGACCAGTCCCATCCGCCCGAGCCTGTCTCCTCCACGGTCAGGGATCCATGCCAACTGCGGGACTTCCTACGACGGCTGGTGGTTCAGGGCGGTGGATCGGCGACGTGGTTCAGAGCGAGGAGTCAGGTGTCTTTTTTCTTGTTTCGGGTTCTCCCCCATCCCATCTGATGGGATCAATCGTTGGGTGGGAGGGCTGGACTTGTGGACTGTGAGGTGACCAACCAATACCTCTTGGCGTCATATGCAGCCAAGTGTGTCGTGGCAGTTATTTTGCACAGTGTGACAGCGTTGTGGATGAGTTTTATCGGACGTGTCGGCTCCTGACCAAGGCAACCCGGAAGCCGACTTCCAGGAGCTGCTCCAGGAGTGTCTTGGCAGATGGCACCCAGAAGCCTGTGGGACATGGTGGGAGAGAAACGTTTGTGTAGATCTCTCTCTCTCTCTCTCTCTGTCTGCACCTACTTGACATAGCAACTTCACACAGACATGTAGACACCCAATGACGCACGGAAAGGCAACAACACCCGCATGTTAGGTCGCAAAACACTTGTACGTTTACTACAGTAAGCTTCATGCTGCACCAACGGGGCATAGGGAGTGCCAGACTCAAGCTCGAAAGACTATAGGCTGAGCACACAGCCCTGGGCGGGTGGAAAAGATCATGGACCTCACTGGCCGGGCGCCAAGCCCCTCCGGGGCTATGCCATGGCTGGGGGTGCCTGAGGCACGGGAGTGTCTCCATTTTCGATAAGAAAGACCCTCAGTTGAGTGAGCGCATTTCCCATTGCATTTCCCAGGCCATCGCTCTTATCGCTAATAGGTTGGAGGCCATCGCTAGTAGGGTGGAGGCCATCGCTAAAAACAAAGACAAAAAGACGCGGAAAAGGTCTAAGTTCGTCTACGTTTGCCTTTGTTTGCTTTACACTTTAGTCTTTGCTTTACGGCTGGCGATTCAGTACTGTGTTTTTCACACCTGCCAGGTGGAGATGACGACACAAGACGGGCGACACTTGTGTTCTGCTTGTCCCCTGCCAAAGTCTTCACCAACCCTTGCTCAATTTGAAGGTGGGCGTGTCTTAGTGGGTGTGTCGTTTTGATGAACAGAAGACGACCTGTCTTGATCTGAGCATCAAACACCAAGCTGTATGTCTCACTGCTTCTGGACTTGGCCTCAGAAAGCATGACCTTTGCCCAAGTGGCGCAATCAAGTCGCCATTGTGAAGGCGGTCCTGAGGCCCTGGGCAGCGGTCCGGACGGCTCCAAAGACCTGGTGTGAAGGCGGAAACCGAGAGGAAGCCCTCCCAAAGACCACCTTGGACAACCATTGGTTGGGGTCTCCTTATTGAACTACACACCCACCGAAAAGTCCTAGCCATTCGGGTTGTCCCCATGTTGCTTTCGCTGCCTCCCCTCGCAGCCTGGCTCCCGCGACGGATTCCTGTACTTCTGGGAGAATGGAGTCGGAGCCGAGCCGTTGCTTTTGTGACTTTTGCGTCGGACACAGATCTGACAGTCCAGAATTCAGTCTCAAGAGGTGCGAATGAATCATACAATGGTCGAATTTCGTATATCTTCAGTCTCAAGCGGAGCGAGCACTATGACTAATTCTCTTGTTCTAGAAGCATCGCTGTTTTTTGACAAGACTGATCCTCCTCCTGGTGGCTTTCGGCACGAGCAGAAAGAGCCGAAGTGAACCGAAAGCTTTTGGTATCATTTCGGTGGCAACCGATGTCCAATGCGCTGAGGAGGAAAATACTGTTAGATTCACAGCTGCCTTGGGGGTTTTGTTTTGACCTCTGGCACGGCACATCATGCACTTTTTTGACAAAGCTCACACTTCGGTTGATGTGTATTAGAATAGGGGACCCCACACAAACCCCTCGAAGAAGGAAAACAGACCCAGACCCATTGCTTTGGGTGGGGTCCCCTATCACACCGATGACGGTCGAACTCGCGCTTTTTCGACCTCGCTCGCCCCTGTCAGGACTACATTCGCTCGGACCAGGAACGGTGGGGGTCATGCTGCACACTCGTTCAAGAGCGGCCGCTCTTCAGCGGTGGAGAGCTTCGCCGGCCGCCGGACGCGGGAACGCCCCCGCTCTCGTCCGCCAGGGGTCCGAGGACCTCATCGGCCACGATGATTTGCTGAGTGAAGCAGTTCAGGACTGACAGCCCAGCAGCTGAACGCCCATTTGGGGGGAGCCTCTCTTCGAGTGAAGTGGGATTCCTGAGGCTGAGGCCAATGATGCAAACCCCTATAAGTTTGAGTTAGTGACAAGTGGGCCAGCGCGCTGGTTGGTCGCCCGCGACACGGACGTTCAACTGGTTGAGATGGCTTCGGTGTGGGCTTCGGTGGCGACTCCTCTCAGCAGTCCACATCAGGAGAAGGAACTTCGAAACCTGCAAGCGGCCGCCTGCCCAGACGGCCGACGTCTGTAACAGATTAGCACGGTGATGAACCGAACCGCCGTGTGATGAACCGAAGTGCATGGAGCAGTGTAGTGCGAGAGAACTTGTGCTCACCATTGCTCACCTGTTTCGAGCCTGGATTTCGAGCGAATCGTATGCGAATCGTATGGGTTTCGAACGCCAGCATTCTCATTGAGGCGACGAACCTGTTCAATGAGATGGACCACCTGCGAAGAGGCGAGGGCGAAAGATGGCGAAAGCGTTTCGCAAGAAGAGGCGTTGCGGAAAGTTTTGTCTTTAAACATCGCACCATTGGCTGGTTTTGCTTAAGGTGTGTGTGTTTTTATATACCAATGTTTCCGTATGGCCGCATGCCGGGGAACTTTTTAAACAACTTTAGACAAGTTTTCATGGTTCCTGGATTCCTTAGGCAAATCACAAGATCTGCCGTCAGGCTACCTACCCCTCTCCGACATCAAAGCCATGTTGCGCAGTGACGCGTCGCCTGGGCTGCAAAGAGGAAAGGTTTGGCTTCCACACCCTGCGCTTCCATGCGCTTCCAGGTGCACAAGTCATAAATGAGTCACTCCTAGAACCAGATCGTCAGTGTTTGGAGATCCAATGATTGGATAGATGTGGATAGTCCTGGAAATTCGATGAGCTGGCAGCTATTTTTATATTGTCGTAGAGGCCTCTAGCACTGTGAAAGGATTTGTAGGATAGAGTGATAGAGGTCAAAAGGTCATTCTTGCCCTCAGCATGCTTCGCCATGCTGCACCATGCTTCACACCACCCAGGTTTGAACGGACAGATTCTGCCCGTGACTCAGAACACTTCGCCTTTTTTAGGGGTTTGAACCCCCCCCCCGTGTGACTCAGCAAGCTGAGGGCATCAGAAACGCCCTGACTTCCGTGCAGGTGGCCATCCATTCCCTCTTGGAGAAGCTCAGAGTCAAGGAGATCCCAAACGTCGCGTCGACACGTCGGTGTCGTTTCTTTCCGGACGTCCCGGGGGCACGTCCCGGACGTCCGAGGTGTCTCGCTCCGGGAGAGCGGGGGAACCCGCGGTCTGGGGCAGTGAGGATGGCTATGTGAGCCTGGCTGAGTTCCAACGTGTGATGCTGGAGGACTGGGTATGGACTGGGTGTGGGCGAACTGGGCGGCGAACTGGACATCTGGAGCCTGGGCAGGGCGAACTGGAGTGGGCATTGGTGACCATTGGCAGGTGAATAAAGAACCGTAGTAGAGAAGTCAGTATGCAGAATGGAACAAAGCGAGGGGCCAGAGCAAAGGCCAGAGCGGCGTCCCAGGATGATCGATGTCACATTATACAATAGACATATGCTGCATCTGAGTTCACCAGGTCAGGAAGTCTTTGCAAATGCCCCGCACATTTAGCAAGGCTCTGTGAGCTTTATCCTGCGCAGGATGGGTGCATCGCTCCCAAAAATCTGGCTGACCAGGGCCAAAGGCCAAGGCAACGCAGAGAAGAGCATAGGTGAATTTGGACGCACCAGACTTCGATGGGAACCGTTCTGAATGCAATCATAGCTGCCCAAACTGAGCCTCTCGACAGTTTGTTGCAAGTCTAGATTTTCACAGATGACTCCCAAATGGCTGTCCAAATTTGTTGGGAACTTTCGAGCAGATGTGCGATGAGTTAAGAATACCGTACTGTATGCCCATCTCTTTGGCCCACATGCCAGGCTGCCTGTGGGTTCAGTAGGGCTCCATATTCGCCGAAACAGATCTAATTGAACCATCCTTTCAACTTTAGCTTCCTGCTTTTGCTATCTGTTGCATTCTTTTGCTTAGCGCATATGCATCCCGGCACTCGCTTAGATGGGCCATGAACACAGCGCATCTCTTGGGCCATGAACACCGCGCAGGCGAAGAGACGCGCAGAGCACCTGTTTCTGGACGGACGTCGCTTGGCGATTCGAATTTTAGAGAGACGAGCCGCTCTCGATGGCTCTTGCATGTCATGGCCGTTCAGTGGATGGCCTCGCTTTTTTGTCCGATCGGAGTCAGGCCTGGTTTGATGCCGATGACTCTTCGTCCGACGAGTCCGGCCTGGCTGCCGAGCCGAACCGACGTGAAGAGACGGAGACGGAGTGGCGAGGGAGGGACGAGGGAGTGCGGTGTGCGAAGAAGGAGGCGGTTGCTTAGCAAGTCATGTGGTTTGACAGCCAGAAACGAGTGAAGGAATCCAAACGTTTGATGTGAGACCAAGATCACGAAAATGGATGCAGTTCACCTGCCAGGATGAGCTGACGGCACGAGTGGCATGGACGTGAGATTACATTCAGAGAGAGGCGAAATGGGGACAAAAACTCTGCCCTCGAGTGGAAGCAACATGAAGGAGCATGGGAACAAGCTTTAGAGAGCGATCGCAGATGGAAGCAAGGTTCAAAATAACCTTGATACGAGGTGCTTGCAAACTTTGGTATACCTGCAAACTCTGCATTTTGGTCCCTTCCCTGCTTTGAGTTCCGCGTGGAGGCTGCCTTTGTCATGGCCACAGCGAAAGGTGAAGCTGCGTTGCCAAAGCTGCGATGAACATCCGCCAGACGCAGCCAAAAAGCTCCGTATTGCTTGATGTTTGCCTTCTAGCGGTGCAGTTTCCGTGTGGGTTTGATGTGCTTGGCTGCTTTTCCATGTGAATGCTGGTGTTAGCCCAGTGGCTATTTTGTGCTGAACCTTGAAGAAGAAGAAAAAGAAGAAGAAGAAGACGAAGAAGACCAAGTAGTTTAGTTAGTAGATGTTACTAGCTATGATTATATAAGCATCTTAGCCGTGCGAAAAGTCATAGTGGAAAGCATCGTTGGACTCATGTGAGCGCTTCAAAATCATGTGAGCTAGGACAAATGGTCAGTGAGTGGTTTCGCAAAAACGAACGAACCAAAACCCACCAAAAACAATGACGGACATGGACATGGATCATACACTCACCAAATCCTGATGACCTGCAGCTCCACAACAAATTTTTCACCGTCACTCATGTAGGCAGCTACAGAACGACGACGCCCCCCCAACAGCTGTTTGTTTGTTTTTCTTCTCAGCTTTTCCATCGTCTTTTCCACATACACAGCAGGTAGACAGGGAACCAGTTGTCGCCGCCAGAGGGTCATGCCAAATGTTCCTGCCGTTGGACCGGGTGGAAGTCTCAGATTTCCTTTGGCACCGGGGGAGGCGGCCAACTCGATGAGCGAAACGATCGTGAAACGATCTTTTTGGCCGGCATTCTAGATCATGTCTGCATGTTTTTTTTTTTTGGGGGGGTGCCTTTTCTACAACACTGACATTTGGTGAGCTGGTGTGCATCGACATTTTGCACGTGGGTGGCTTCTAGAAAAATTCAGTTGTCACAGTCACATCTCAGGAACTAAGATTGAAGATCTTCCACTTCTAAATGCGCAGCCATCCCAGACTTTGCAGCAAGCAAGGGCCCAGCAAGGGGATGCGAAGACACATCAAATTCAGTTGACGAAGGCACCAAGAAAAAGGAGTTGAGTGGCCTTCTTTACACAAGATTTAGTAGTTGTCGGGGGGAGTAGTTTTTTTGCGTTCAGTGAAGGCATTTGGTTCGTTGCGCGGCCCGATCAAGAAAAGCCGCCACCATTCAGAACTGCCTACAAACGCGAAAGCATGTACCGCGGAACCATTCTGACATGCACCTTCATCCCTTCATCCGACCGTTCGGAGAACGGAGAACGTCGCCCACCGACGACGGCATTTGTGTTCGCTCAGTAGCTGATCTTGTCTTCGATACGTGATGTTTGGCCTGATCGGATCGATTCATGGCTGCCCGCCCTTTGACTTCCCCCCCAAACCAAGTGGCACACTCAAAATCTGCGAGCGAGCTCAGACACCTAATCGGTTGCATAGAACTGCGAACGGGTGATTTGGCACGAACTCCAGCTCATTTGCTCGCACCATTTTTTGGGGCCCAGGTTGAAAGTCAATAGCACCTCAATGTTCAGCAGCCCTCACGGATTGAGGTGTGGTTGGCTAGAGCAACCAAAGGCGAAGGTGTTTCGATTGCAGGCAGTCGATCACCCTGTGTAGGCTCTTCGCGAAGCTTTTCCGGGTATTGAGCAGCTGACGGCAAACCCCACCAGGGCCTCCAAGCTGTCCACTGTCTGTTTCACGTGACATGCCCGTCCAAGATCGTCCAAGTGTTTGCCTGAAGCAAAATCGATGTGTCCTAAGGCCAGAGCTGATGGAAGATCGTGGGGGCGATGAGGGCGCTCCGGATGGCTTCCAAACTCCGCAGGGCGCTCAGGTGTTGTGTCTCAGCTACCTCTTCAACCGGGTTCACCGTGGCCAGATACAGGTGAGGTGGGAGCAGTCCGCCATTCTGAACGGTTCTGAAGGGTCCCATGGGATCCCTACACTTCCCGCTTGGGGGGTCTATATATATTAATATACATACACATATGAATATACATCAGAATCAATGGTAATAGTGGTTTGTACTGTATGTTGTGTCATTTCGAGGACATAAGAGGGGGTGCCACCACCTTGGACATGTCCGAAAGCGTCCGAGTACTTCCTTCAAGAAGATTCAGCCCACCCTGAGGCCAAGCAGCTGCAGCAGCTTGAAGCTAAGCATTTGGTGATGCCACACTTGCATCAACTGATGGGACAAGTATGTTTGCTTGGGTCTTCCTTGGGTCGCTGTAGGCTTGGAAAGTTCTTTGAGGCTGTCGCTGGCACTTTTTCAGTTTCGGGGGTTTCGCTTCAGTTTTCGTCCCGCAGAGCGTCCATTTTGCTCAGAAAGGCTTTGTAAGTCTTACCGACTTGTACGGAGCTACTGTATTCCTTGAAAGGCCGGGCTGGTGGAGCAAGACATGCAAAGTTGAACACACTGGGCTCTTGCAGATTCAGCATTTCCAGGCATGTCAATGGCAACCAATCCCTAGGCCTTCCTTGCGAAGGTGTGTATTTGAGTAGGGGCACCCCCAACCAGTGGTTTTTGGCCTATTTCCTTTCTTCCAGGGGGTCTTTGGGTCTTCCTATTTAATGCGCACCCATGTCGGTCAAACACAGTTGTCTCATATGACCTCTACGCCAGGATGGCGTACTGGTGGAAGGCGCTTCGGGAGGAGATCAGTGGCACCATCGATGACTTCCGTGAGAAGGGCGCCTGGGGCGCCGTCAAGGATGCCACTCTCGATGCCATGGACTTGATTCAAGACGCAGGAACTGGGACTGGGACCGGGACTGCCACACGTTGCCACGCCGCTTCGTCGCGGGTACGGTTCCGGTTGCCAGGGAAAGGAAGGAGGCATATATCTCATGTCTACGAAGTATGCGGTTGCGTGCGTTTTTTGCGCGGGAGAGAATAGACATGCAAGAAAGAACTGGCAGACAAAAGGGTCCATGTGCAGGTGGTCTCTGTCAGATGGTCACAATGCAAAGAATTACGCATGAAGATGTGGGTGTCTTCTTGAAACAGCGAGACCTCCAAATTCGACCCTCTGGAAGAAGGAACATATGGCCTCAACAGCCTCTTGAAAACTCACATGTCAACACTGCCAATAGCCCTGCCCTGCCACGAGCCTGCCGCGAGCCCTGCCCCAAGCCACCGCACCAGGCAGTCTGGTGGTGGATGGAACGGCTCAACTCCTCCACCTGGAGCGGCCGATTTGTCGCCATCATCCGGGCTCTCCCTTGCCCCGAGTGGGCGACGAGGCGCGTGCCACCGACGGCCACAGACGACGGTCATTGGGTGCCGAACGGTACGGCATGGTGTGCCATAGCGGACGGTGAGGGCAGCATTTCGTTCATGCAATTTGTAGGTTGCTTCAATGTGCGTGTGTCTTTGGCACATGTAAAGATAGAAAGACTGCTGCCTCCCTTATGCAAAGGTATTGTTCTCATTCAAAAGTTTGCTATCATTTGCCCCTAGCAAGTCCCACTATGAAATGAGAGGCTCAAGGTTGAAGCATTGAAATTGCAGTTTCAGGAACATACACCTGGTTTCTGCTGGGCCCGTGGATCTAGGATATTCCAGGATCCTCAATTCTATAGTTCGAGTTTGATCTAAAACGCTAGCGGCCGTTCGCGGTTCTAGAAACGGTGTTTTTGGAATATCCGTTCGAAGGTTAGCATGCTAGAGGCAGGAAGTGTGATCCGGTGTGAGGACAACTGGCCAAAGACATCCAAAGACCAAAATTTGCACAAACCGGCTAAAATGCCAGACGTGCACTTATATTAGCGGGAACGTGCTGTTTTTCTTTTGAGTGTCGAGACCATGAACCACTTAGTCACTTAGTCCAATCTCAATTTGAATTTTTCACCAACTCTAAAGGTCTGGGAATGCGGACGTCATGTTTACCAATATCAAGTGACGTTTCAAAAATCCAGGCTGTGCAAAGAAGAAGGACCGCAAAAAGCGGGTCCAACCAGCCTTGACGCGCGCAGACGCCTCCTTGGCGCGTCTGAGAGCTCCAGGTACCGATCTCCTTGTCCAACGGCCGCTTGGATGGCAGAGAGCACATGAGAATTCATCCGAATGCACCCGAATGCACCCGATGTCCACGGATGAGAACACCTCCCTCTAGCGAGGCCAGCCACCAGTGAGGGCAAAGGTCTACGGCATAGACAGCATCTCGGATCCACCCAGAGCCAGGGTCATGCGAGCCTCGGCTTCTCAGTGACATGGACTGAAGGAAAATGGTGAGGCAATGGACAAGCCTGTTCGTTTGGTGCTCCTGATGCGTCTTCACCTCGAGGTATGGACACCAGAGAAGAGGTCCTTGTGGACATCATTTGCTCTGCAGATTGCAGTCCAACACGGCCGATGTCGTGGGTGGTGGATGAGGTCGGCCGTGCAATGGGAGAAGTTCGAGAGAAAGGCCGGAGAGAAAGGCAGAGAGTGCCCCCCAGCGGATTCACAGCATTTCACAGCCATGGATTGCAGGGACTGCTTGTTGTTTTTGAAATTCTTGGGGCACATGTCTTTTTTTAAACTTGGATTTCTTTTTGGGATGGCGCATGGTGAAAGCGCTCCCGGCGCATGCAGGTGCCGGGGTTTTGAAGGATGGGGTCCTCGACACGGTGGACATCGTCAAGGAGTTTGGCACACGTACGTGTCACAGGGGCCATGAGGGACCCAAACTCAACAGAACCTGGAGAGGGTCCAGGCGACAAATCCAAGGAAATGGCATTGGGCACGAAAAAAATCCATGCGACAATCAAGACCTGACAGTTTCACTGCAAACAGTTTCACTGAAGCCTCTGCTACGCGTTTTTGTTCTGTTTATTTTTTCACCATTGTTGGCTTCGCCAAGTGTTGTTCTCGTTTACACACCCAGTCTCGCATGAGTTTCACGGACCGGGACCGACTGAGAAACTCATCGCAATGGCCTACGGGCCTACGACCAGGACCCTCCTGTCGGGGTGTCCTGGCCGAACTACCCCACACTACCCCACTAGGCTTCCAGACAGGGCACACCGACAGGAGGGTCCTGGTAGGAGTCGAACGCCTTGTCATCTCAGCTCTAGGAGGGCACCTCTGTGGCCCTGAACGGTGCGCAGCAGCTGGGTCGGCACACCTTGGCGGCCTTGGGAGATGCCAAACCGCTAGATGCTGAGCCGTTGGAGCCTTGCAACCCTTCCCTGGAGCAAATGCCACTTGCCAGGGTTGGACCAAAGTGAGACCTAGGCATCAGAGGTTTCAATGACCGACACGTATAACAGCCTTTCTTCCCGGTTGCACCTTTTCAAAATTCTCCCCCCCTTTAGTTCTTTCTTGCTTCCTTCCTTCCTTCCTGCCTTTCTTTCTTCCTTCCTTCCTGCCTTTCTTTCTTGCTTCCTTCCTTCCTTCCTTCCTGCCTTTCTTTCTTCCTTCCTTTCTTCCTTCCTGCCTTTCTTTCTTGCTTTCTTTCTTGCTTTCTTTCTTGCTTTCTTTCTTTCTTTCTTTCTCTCTCTTTCTCTCTTTGTCTCTCACTCGAACTGTCTTTGTGTGTCTATGCCTGTGTGAGTTGCATGCGGCATTCGATATGGAATCACTTTGCAGCTTGCGCAGGAAAAACTTGAGACTTGAGCTCCAAAAGGCCTTCAAGAAAGCGTTCTTGCTTCAAGCTTCGTCTGGCCTTGTGAGGTATGGAGAGGATGCTTACAAGCCCAGCCTGAAGCTCCAAGCTCAGGCAGTGGAGCCGACGCCGATCCTCTTGTCACCCAGGGGGCCCGAGGGGCCCGAGCAGAAATATGAAGCCAGCTGGTATGACGATGAGGTCATTGACTAACCATCCCAAGACTCTGGAAGTTTCACTCGTCCAAAGGCTTCTGCTAGCCAAGATTGAGACCTCCAGATTTCAAGGCCATGCCAAGTTGGAACATGTTGGAACCAGAAGCCTGTCCGTTCGAGAAGAATCCCACTGTGATCCGAGCTATGACTTTTGCTAGTTTGCCCACTGATGAATGACAGCCGCATGATGCATGAGTTGCAGTATGTGTAGTGGCTGAAGTTGTATATGCCATCCAGCCAAATCCACCCTTCCACTGGTGATGCCATGCATTGTGTAGCGTGCGCAATTTTCGGCACCGATCGCAGATTCCATCGGTTGAATGAATCTGGACTGCTCTGGGAACCTCACTTGGACTTGTGCATTTCCGATGAGAAATGGGTTTGATGTTATTGTTGAAATTCACCTCATCCCCATGGACCCCGTAGCGTTGACTCTCAAGGTAGAGCAAAAGGTAGCGCTTACCGGACTAGCAGGGTTAGCTAGGTAGTTAGTACTATTAGAGCTGATCCTGTAAAATACAGGTTATCAGCCGTAGGCTAGCTAGATTAGAGCTATGGACCCGATGGATGACGACGTCCCACCAAACTCCTACGGAAGTGGCTTTGACATAGTTCCGAGTGTGCCCAATAGTTTGGATGCAGTTCAACGGCATGAACAAGCGGTTGCACAAGTGGCTGCAATGGATCCAAGGGTTGCTTCGGAGGTGTACCAAGAGATGCTAAATAGTGGTGGTAGTGTTACTCTTCAAGAGGCGACACAAGCTACCCTAGCAGGTATGCCGTCAGCCACCGTAGCTGGTGCGCCAACAGTAAACAACTTGTTGGCAATGACTCGGCTCAACGTTGTCAACCTGAATGCAACGCCAAACGACGAAGAACTACGACGGGAGTTACAACAACATGAGTTTTTGCTCAGCGAACAAGCCAGGAGGGAAGCTGAAATCGAGGCATTGCGCTTCAGGAGTATTTACGAAAGAGAAGCTTCCGAATCTATAGCGGCAACAAAGGCTGCCGCAGAGCAGGCAATGTTGAATGTTCAACAAAGGGCCCAGCAGCAGGAACAAAGTGTTCAGCAAATGGTCCAACAGCAAGACAATGTTGCAATCAAACGGTTGCAAGGTACATTGGAGGAGCAAAGGGAACATTTTCAGCAGCGGCTAGCTCAGGCGACAGCAGCTCATGAGAAAGTTGTACAGGAAAAGAATGCCATGGCGGAAGAAGGCAATGCTTTTGTTGACAAAATGAGAACTGAACATCACCAGTATGTTGAGCAACAGGAGGCTAAGCTGAAGGCAGCTCTAGAGGCAAAGGATCAGGCAAGACATTCGTCTGCTGAAGAATC